TGGCGTGACGAGGGATCTGGGGCTGGTGGATGGGCAGGGCTCGCGCTGGTGTGCCTGGGCGCGGGGCAGGCCGCAGTGGTGGGTTCTGCTGCCACAGGGAGCCGCGGCCTCCCTCCTCCTTGGCCGTGCAGGCGGCTCCTTTGATGTGGGAGTTTCCTGTGTCACAGGAGGTGTTTGGGGGAAGATAATTTAAGACTGTGGCTATGTAAGGTACCCGAGGCAGGTGTTTACCACCCAGGCCGTGACTGCAGGGGCCTCGGCTGAGATAGGCGGGAATGGATGGGCCCGATCCGATCTTCTCTCACCCTTCTTCCCAAGCAAGCGGGGGCCAGAGATGGCGTGTGTCCTGCAATTCGGGCTCACACAGCAATCCCCCCATCAGATGCCGGTTCAGGTTCCCACTTCTTGCTCCTGATCAATGTGGGAGGCTCTCTTCGATTCTGTGGGCCTCAGTGTGCGCATCTGTGAAATGGGAGGGTGGAGCGGAACTGGATCCTTGCGGCTCAGAGCGTGGTCCGCCAACGGGCAGCCTCAGCCTCGGCTGGGAGCTTGTTAGAAACGCAGAACCGGGCCCTCCCAGACCTGCCCAGTCAGAATCTGCATTTTGACAAGTTCTCCAGGGCACCGATAGCGCGTCAGAGTGCCGGCTGGAATCGGCGTCTTATTTTTCTCAGCTCCTGCATTCCCGAGGCCTGAAATTAAGTCGCAGGTTGTTTCATCTTTAGGAGTTAGAAGCAGTTTCTGGAAAAGAGAACAGGTTTTGGGGTGTCTCTGGGTTTGGGGGCTTTGCCACAATGACAGAGGTCTGGGCAGGTGTCACTTCAAAAGGAAAAAGTAGCTCACGCTAGAGAAGCCTGTTTCGTGGAGCACCCTGGGATGCTCCGAATTGCAGAAGCGAAGGGTCTTCTGAGTGCTGCTCTCTGAGGAGGGTACCGGGCCACCTGTCCCGGGGTCCCTAGCAGCCCACACGTTCCACTCGAGGGGACTGCGCTGGCGGCAGCCCCTCTGAGACAGGGCTGGCGGGGGGGGCGGGCGTGGGGCTCCTCCCGCGTTCCCTGGGATCCAGAAGGTGCTTGGGGTGCCCTGTCCCCCGCCCGCCACCTCTCCGCGGGAGAAAAAGTCACCTGTGTACGCGTGCGTGATCTTAAGGGAAGTGTCGAGATTTACTAGGCTCGAATCCTGTATTTCCCCTGAACTCTGCTAAGGGAGGCAAAGAGTGAGTGTCTGAGCATCTGGCCCGCGATGCCGTCTTTTCATCTGCCGTTGCCCAAGGACGGTGCCCTGCCGTTGGGGGTGTAGCTCCCTGTGCGCTAGTCTCCCCGCTCAGATGTGAATCCGAGTCCCCTGTGCCCCCCAGGACCTGGAGCAGACACCAGCACCTCTCAGCTGCCCTCACAACAACGACTCCTGGTTGTGACTAGTGTTACTGTTCCCACTCAACAGTGAGAAGACTAAGGCCCAGAGAGGTTGAATGACCTGCCTGAGGTCACACAGCTGAGAGTCAGAGTTGGAACTCAAACCCAGGTCTTCAGATCCCAGCTCCCCGCTCTCCTCCCACGCCCCGAGTGTCCTGAGACCACAGTCCCCGGCTAGCGCACTGACCGCTGGGCAGACACAGTGTCTCTCTCGAGTCTCGCGATGACCCCGCAGTTTAGGGTGCGTCATTCCCGTTTACAGAGTAAAGAAAGCGGAGTCCGGGTGGCTGGTGGTTTCCCCTGTGAGCCGTGTGGCTGGGATCCAAGACTCCGCAGCCCGCCGCGGCGCTCACTAGCCGCCGTGCGGGTGGGACGGGGCGGGCGGTGGCTGCCCCTCTGCAGTCCCCTCCCTCCCCCGCCGCACGGCTTCCCTGCCTCCTTCTCTGTCTTCCTCAGGCGGTCCCTAAAGAACGTTCTGGCCTCCGCAGCAGGACTCCCGCCCCTCTGGGCAGCCCGGACGCTCGTGCCCAGGAGGCCAGGGCTGGCACGGGCTGTGCTCTTACCAGGGCCGTTGCTCCGGGGCCTCTCTGGAAGCTTCCCTAACACTGTGCTGCTCTTGCTCTGCAGGTGACAGGCCTGGACTCCGGCGTGGCTGGGGCGGGGGCACCGGAAGGGGCAGCAGAGCCCGGGTGCCCGGCAGCGATGGCGGCAATGGGAAGCAGAGACAGACGCCAGCAAGCGACGCCTCAGCTCCTCCTGCTGCCCCGGTGTCTCCTCGGCCCGCGAGGCCTGGCACACACAAGCACCGAGTGGCAGCCGGACTTGGGGACCACTGAGCTGCTGGAGACTGTGACTTGTCACTGTGAGGACTTGCGCAGTGTCCCGCAGTGCCGGCCGTCGGAGAGGGGTGTCTGCGTTCTCTTTCACACGCACGCTTAAGGGACAGGCCAGCTCAGGCCGTCGTGACCTCATCTTTGATCAGTCCTATAACCCGGCGAGGGCAGTGGCCAGCCAGTCTGCAGCCACAGCTTCCTGGGAGGCTTCTAGAATCATCTGCCAATGAGTGCTCCTCCAAGGCCTCCGACAGCTGGGAACGGTTTCGAGACTATCTTGCCAGCGGAGAAACCAAATCCCAACTCTTGTTGCCAGAAGGTGTTTCGTGGCCCGTGGAGAAAGCTCTCCTGCCCTGGTGGAGAATTCCCAAGCGAGATTCGGAAGCCTTCGGGACTGGCTGCGGCACAGCGCTTCTCGGGGCACGCTCGGGCGTGTTCAGCCCTGGAAGCCGCTCCGGGCGGCAGAGCACTTGTGTCCGCTCGCCCTGCAGTGCGGGGCCCGCGTCTGTGGGCAGGGCGGCCCCTCTGTCCCCTGGGCTCTGCCGGCTGGCTCTGAGACACAGGAGGGGTCTCGCCAATGTTCGGAGGAAGGGATCTGAGACGGGTCCTCCAGCTGTTGCTGTTTTAACATCCATCCAGAAGCAACGTTTTTTGTCTTTGAAATGACCTAGGACACAATCGGAAGATGTCAGAGCTTCAGTGTCCAGGTCACCTGCCCACTCTGTACCTGGGCAGTCAGAGGCCTGCCCAGGGCTTCACGAGGCCACCTGGCAAGGGAGGGCAGCAGGGGAGCCCCCCCCCCCGGAGCCTGCCTCCCACACCCGCCTCCCGGCCTCGCTGTCTGTCACACTCCTTCGCCCAGCGAAGGTGCCCGCGGTGGCCAGGCGGTCCAGGTCTCCTTCAGAGGAGCCCCACGACGATTTGGGGCTCTTTGGCAGCAGACAGCAAGCTACCTTTGGCTTCCCTAAACTCACTGAGATTGAGAGCAGGGCTCTTGTTTTCCCCTGAGGACCGCAAAACTCTCCTGTCCCTGGGGTCCCCTTCTTTCCATTGCAGAGAGCGGGAAAGCGGGCACTGCTCCTTTGGGGGCCGTGGGAAAGGCTCCGTTCCCAGGTGCTGCTACGCGTGACTTCACCGTCTGGCTGCAGCGACTAGAAAGGGCCTGTTGTTCTCCGCAGGTCGGGCCGGGCCGGGCAGGGTGCCTGTTAAGAGGACACCGCTGGCCTTGATTCCGAGGGCATCGTCTCCTCCCTCCCCGGCCTCCCAAGCACACCTGTGTGGGAGGTGCGGGCCGAGGGCTCGGTGCGCCCCCTTCAGACCCTGTTTCCCGCCCCAGATCGCTGAGCTCACACAAAGAGCTTCACTCTGAACTGGAAGGTCAGGGGTGATCAGATTTGTCGTGGGGCTGGTTTGAAGGGAGGGGCCTGTGTCGAGTGGATAGATTTTGGCCCCTTTCTCTGTGCAGAAGAATGTCTGTTTGTCTCTGGGCACAGCTATAGTCGTATTCAGGGAGGAATTGGGGAATGGTGTAGAGGCTGGAGCCGGCCACTCCCAGAGCTGTCTAAGCGCTGTGTGCCACAGAGGACTTGGGCACAAAGACGTCTCTCCAAGTGGCATTATATTCTGAAGGGAAGATCTCACATCTTTTTAGAAAAAGTTCCTGCCTTGAGGTTTATCTAGATAGATTCCCATACTCACATTCTATATGAATAAAAGGAAAAAAAAACAGTGGTTTTAATAAAATAGAAGTTTAATTCCCTCTCATATAAAAAATGAATCCACCATCTAGAGCTATTTTGGTCCTGCACAGGGTCAGGGCCTGGGTTCTTCTATTTGCTTTGCCATCCTCCATGCATGGCTCCCACTAATGGCCCAAGATAGCTGCTGAAGATCCAGCCATCACATCTGCATTTTAGCCAGTAGGAAGAAGGAAGGAGGGAAGAAAATCTGCCCTTCCCTTAAGGACACTCCCTGAAAGGCACACACTCTACCTCTGCTATATTGGCCAGAACTGAACTCCCCGGCCACAACTAACTCAAGGGAGACCAAGGAGCTAGTCTTCACTCTAGCTGGCCGTGTGCCCAGATAAAAATCGGGGGTTCTGGTACTGAGGAATAAGGAGAAAATGGATAGGGGCAATTAGCTATCTTTGCCCACCTTCCTCTTGGACAGGTAACATGTAAAAGGTATGTAACATGCAGGCATCTATATTTAGGTTTTCAACATTATTATCAAAAACTGGTTTAAGAAGCATGGACTGAGAATGTATAGGTTAGAAATCAGCCAATCCACACCCTCATCTCATTTCACAAAGATTAGAAAACTGAGATCCAGAGAGGTTAAGCAAATCGGTGGAGATCACACAGCCTGTCAGTGGCATCTCATGCCCAGCTCGCGTTCAGTGGGGTGTTTTGGTTCTTCTCTGTTTCTTGACTTAAGAAGAAAGCTTCATTCTGGAGGTCGGGGGAGCTCGAGCTCCAAGGGTGAAATTCCATCCTTCACTGGGTCCCTGAGCTGCAGGACGCAGGCGGGGCGACGGCGAGGTCTGCAGGCCCCGCTCTGCCCAGCCCTGATGGCGGCGGCCGGGGAAGCCGCCCGTGAGGACTGCGCGGGGCGGCTGGCGCGTGCCTGTCCCTGCCTCCGCGTGTGCACGTGGCCCCGTCTGTCTCCGCGCCGCCCTGCGTGCCGATCGCAGCCCGCCAAGGTTGGTGTCCGACTCTGTGTGCTTCTGTTTCAGGGGCGCCCTGCCAGCATGGGAGCCGCCGAGAGGCTGCGCCTCTGCTTCACGGCCGTGCTGACCGTCAGCTGGCTCACCCTGGCCCGCCTCCCGGGGGCCGCACCCACAGGTGAGCACGCAAGCCCTCGGTGAAGCCGGGTCGCTGGGGGGAGCGGCCAGGAGCAGCCGTGGGAGTGGGCTCGGGGGTCTGGGGCCTGGCCGGTCCTTACTAGACCCCTGGACCCCGGGCAAGTCCCATCCCGCTCAGTCCTGGCACCCACAAAGTGAAGGGCTGGACTAGAGTCAGGGGTGCAAACTCGGTGTCTGCAGGAGCCGGGCCCTTCCGTGCGTGCGTGAAGCCGGCCAGGCAGGGACTGTGTTCAGCCGGGAAGCTGAGCCCCTCTAAAGGGACACCCCCTTCTCCGTTCCAGCCAACTGCTCCCTTGTGGGAAGGGGGGTCCCCTGTCCCAGGATCTTCTGAATTTTTAAGAGAAGCCAGAAGTCTGTATTTTTACGTAAAAGCTCCCTAGTCTTTATTTTTTTCCCTCCCTCCCCAGGCCTCTCTAGTCTTTAAATATTAGCAACTAACTCAAATTTTACAAACCCCAGTAGGGGGCAGAAGAAAAGCCCCACATACCTGAGAGTCAGCCGGTCCACCTCTTTCTGGGCCACCTGATGTCACCACCCCCTTTCTGCTTTGGCGTCGTGAGATCGGGGTACATTAAGGCGCTTTCCAGATGCGACGCTCCAAGCGAGGTTCAGGTCTGGTTTTCTGTCTCAATATCGTCTTCTCTGTGTGATCTTGAATTAACATCCGGAAGCATGAGGCGAGTTTCCCTGCAGGAAACAGCAGTCGAATAAACCAGACCTTGAGCGGAAGGCGGCGGGAGACGGGGCCAATCTGAAAACTCTGACGCGGGGTTCAGTGCTGTGACGTCACCGCCGCCGCTCAGTGCTCGTTCGAAGACACTATTCAATGCTCCTACATTCAGTGAGCGCGACGCTTTTCCGCAATAGGAATAAAGAACCCAACGTTGTATTATATTTTGTTTCTTCAACCCCCTGACGGAAGGAAGTGATCTGTAGTCATAACTAGTGAAATTCTCTTACTGTGATGTCCTGTCCTTAGAGGACGCAGCGAGTCGTGCGATCACCGCAGCATTGCCTGAATCCATCCATTTATCTTCTGTCATTTATTCAGTTAGTTAACACAGAGGGGCATGGACTGTGTGGCCAGGAACTGGGTTCGGGTTTACCTTTCGGGGTGACCCACCTCGGGGAGGTGCGCTCAGGGGCTTCCCTTGACCTTTTCCTCCCACGTCTTGTCCCCGTCTTCGGTTTGCACGTCAGCCGTGCAGACAGGGACTGGTCTGTGGTCTTCTCTGGCCTCAGAGGGAGGCAGCAGCCCACCCTGCCGTTCAGGCTCCAGGTGGGTCGGGCCTGCGTCCCCTCCCCGTCCTGTTGGGTGCGGCCCCTCCCGGGAAAGTGAGGGTGGTTGCTATGGTGACATCTCAGCGAAAGCTCAGGCCCTCATCAGCCACGCGCTGATTCACGCAAATGGAAACCCACGGACACCGGCCCTCGCGCAGAGCACGATGTCCAGCTCCGGCAGAGGAGTGTCCACCCAAGGCCAGTCTCGCAACTGCTGCGCTTTAGCTGTGGGGGCAGAGCTTCTGGAGAGCTGGGACTGCGTTCCCGATGACAGGAGAGTCTGCGGGGTCACCCTGACGACGTCCAAATCCACATGCCAAGTCCGATGCGAACTCGTGCACTTGGGGTGTGAAAGGGGCCGTCGGGCTTGTCCTGGCAGATGTGGACCGTGAGCCCCGAGGCTCTGCGCGGCGGAGCTGGAACGATGCCTTCCCAGCATGCTCCTGGCTCCTTGCCTGGGCCACCGGGTTCCCCCGTTTACACGTGTTCTTCACACGGCCCGGGAGTCACCTGCTCGGACACCGACACTCTCGTCCGGGGCTAGGTGGAGGGCAGCCCGGGGCTCTGACCGGCCTCTGCTGGAAGCCAGCCACGCACTCGACCCGTCTGGAGACAGACCCAGGGGTGGCTCCGCCCCAGCCCTCGCGGCCACCCCGCCTGCGCAGCACCTGCCCTTCACCGGCAGCTCCGCTCTTGCACTGAAACGGGGAGCCCACTCACGAGCAAGCCACGCGTGTTCTCATCGCGCCGCCACGGTCGGAGCTCCTGGGCGCTCGCAATAGCTGGAGGAGCTGCTTCGGCGAGACCCCAAAAAATGCGAAATTCTTTCCTTAACGATCAAGATCCGAAGCTCGCGTTGAGGCCGACAGCCTGGCAGATGGAGCATGAAGAGGGCCGTTGCGGGACTGGGAGGGGATGACGGGGATGAGACTCAGCAAACATACATTGAGTGCCACTGCATACACCTGCGCTTTGCAGAGAAGACGAGAGGGGTCAGTCGCTGCCTTCTGATGGGCAGAGAGGACGGCTCACGGTGGGCTTGGGGGTCGTATCTAGCGCTGTTGAGAGTAAAGGGTCAAGTTCCTTCCAGTTCTGGAGATACATAAACACGGGACAGACGCTCTCACTCCAGAGATCACCGAATACCAATCTAGCAACTTGCAGAACTGACACGCGGCAATTATAGGTAATGACGTTGAGCCCTCCCGGCCCCCGCTCTGTGCTGTGGACGTGGCTTGCGCACCCCCTTCCTCGAGACACGACCTCTCCTAGGCTCCCCGGCCAGGCCCGAGCTGGGACCTGCCTCCGCTTCTTCCGGCTCCTACGCCGGCGTCGTCACCACCTGAGCCTGGCCCTGCCCGGGGCTTCCTGAAATCTGCTGCTTCCTTCCAGTCGCAGGGGAACGGGGGGCGCTGGGCCTGGTCTCCGAGCCGTCCACCCCCACCTCGTTTGTGCGTCGCCTCCTCACACCTCTTTCCCTCTGGGTGTTTTCTTGTTCTCCGTGGGGTGTTCCGGTTCCTGGGATAGTGGCACCCCCCACCCCGCCGTGGCGCCCATGGGGCAGACCCCGTAGCGGTGGGAAACTCGAGACTCCTCTGCGCTTCTGTTGAGGCTGAGGAGAAGCCTCCGCGGCACCTACCGTGGGGCTTGTAGGTTCAGCCAAACCTTCAACTCCCTGGGTGACAGACGCCACACTGGCCGTCAGCGTCACTTGGGAAATACAGGGCGGGAGACCCAGAGGCCATCGGGGCAGCATCAGGCTTCTCTGCTCCACGGCGCGGCCCTGGCGGCCTGGCACGCAGCCACCGGGAGCTATTGTCCTTGGGGCGGCAGCTCAGTGAGAGTGCACAAGGCGCCACTGGACCAGTGTGGGAGCTGCTCTGTCCTGGAATCTCCGACAGCAGCTCCGGAGACAGACGTTCAGGTTCCCGCAAAATGTGCAATTGCAGGAGCCGCCGCTCGCGGGGCAGCCCACGTGCCTCCCGGGTGTCGGTGTGTCCTTCTGCTCAGTTCAGGTGCCGTTTCCAACCAGGGTCACTTTCGTTACAGGCAGTGTTGCTAGGTAACGTAGTTTATTTATGTGATGCCATCCTCCGGTTTCCAGGGGAACTGAGCTAGAAAATTAACCAGAAGTCTAATCCTCATGCAGAAGGGGGTAGAGTTTTGTTAACTCCTCAAACACTGCTTTCTAGCAGATGGGCATTTCGGAATCCCCGTGGTCTGGGTGAATCATTGCACGACTTCACACCTCACCATGTCCTGAGTAGCCGTCCAGTCTGCCTTTTATTTTATAAATGGGGGCGCTGAACCCAGAAAAGGGAGCGACGTGTTTGCAGATACAAGATGAACTAATGACAGATGCGGGCCTGGCCCCAGGTCCTGCCTCCTGCCTCCGGGGTCTCCCAGCTCTCTGAGTCTCAGTTCTAATCGGGGGAGGCACGTGGGGACCCCCCCGGGTAGTCTGTAGCAACTCTTCCTCGGTGAGGCTGGCAGGTGGGAGCAGTGACATCTCTTTGTCCTTGGCAGTGGCCACCGGGTGCCCTGACCAGAGCCCTGAGCTGCAGCCCTGGACCCCTGGCCACGACCGGGACCACCAAGTGCGTATCGGCCGGGGCAGGACACTGCTGCTCACGTCTTCCGCCACGGTCCACTCCATCCACATCACCGAGGGAGGTGAGTCCGCCTCTCCGCTGCTTCCTCTTCCCTCCATGGCCCCAGAGCCTCACAGACGGGGTGCAGGGGCCACGACTTCCGTGGACAGAACAAACGTCGTGTGCTTCGGGTTCACGTCAGGGTGTCTGGTTGTCTGAGACAGCCATCGGCTCTGAGGACGTAGCAGCGGCCTGTCGGGGGTCCAATCCTAGGGAAAGGAGGCTTCATGGGGGAAACGCCCCGCCGGTGCCATCGGGTGAGCGGCCGCGCCGAGCTTACCTCGGCGGCTCGGCCAGCAGGTGCGGCACACGCCATGATGGCAGCTGACCAGACGGCGTCATTTACACACGCCGAGCGGAGAGAGGAGAAGAGGAATCACAGTCAGCCCCTGTGTCCGTGGCTCTTCGTCTGTGGATTCAATCAACCACGGATGAAAAAGATTTGAAAAAAATTGTCATCTGTACTGAACACATACAGACATTTTCTTGTCGTTATTTCCTAAAAAATACAGTTGAACGGCTATTCACGTAGCAGTTACATTGTGCTAGTTGTTACGAATAATCTAGAGATGGTTTCACATAAACGGGAGGATGGGCGTAGGTTAATTTCAAAATAAACGTGCAAATAGGCAGACACGACACCGTTTTATGTCAGGACTGAGCATCCTTGAATTTCGGTGTCCGAGAGAGGTGCCGAAGCCAGTCCCCGTGGTTACTAAGGGACGCCTGTACTGGTGGGCACAGCAAGCACACGCGTGTTTGGAAGACGCGCTTTTCGCCTGCTGGGTGAGGTGGGGCTGGGCAGTGTGCCAGGCTCTGCGGCAGCCTCACCCTCCACACTTGTGTTCTTAACGGCACCCGCTGCTCCCTCAGGCAAGCTCGTCATCAAGGACCACGCCGAGCCGATTGTCTTGCGGGCCCGGCACATTCTGATCGACGAGGGCGGAGAGCTGCACGCGGGGAGCGCCCTCTGCCCCTTCCAGGGCGGTTTCAGCATCGTTTTGTACGGAAGGTGGGTCGGCCGCTCCGGGGCTGGTGCCACTGGCACCTGGCTGGAGGGGGGAGCGTCCGAAGCAGAGAGGGAGGCAAGAGGCCCGGCTTTAGCGTAAGGTGGGAGCCATCGGTCTGTCCTGCCAGGGGGACCGTGAACGAGACAGAGGTGGTGATCTGGGGGAGCTGGATGGACCAGGAGGCTTTTATTTATCGTGGCCTGGGTGCCGGCCCGTGGCACGGAAGGCCCTGCCAGCCTTCCAGCCGCTTTGCAATGTGTCCTGTTCGGGAGGCTCTGCGAGGGTGTGTCTCACAGGCTACGATGGACGGGATACGGGGAACCCCACGGCAGTTGCCTCTGGCTCTGCTCCTCCTTTAAGCAATTGGCAGCTCTAAGAAGTGGTAGCCGAGAGCACACGAGGGGGTGCGGTGCCTGCCCAGGTGCTCCCACCCTGATATGGACCAGGATATAAAACACCTGGAACTGAAAAGAAACGATGCCAACATGTAGACAAAGAGCAGGTGCTTCCACTCGGCCCTCCGGGCCTCGCTTTGGTCTGGCGTAGAGCGGGGCTGCTGGCACTATTTGTACTGACCTTGGGCGACCACCAAGGTGTGACTGGGTCTGTGGTGGCCGTGGTGGGAGTCAGGGCGCAGTGACTCCTAGGTCCCCTCTGGGCTTGGCATCTGACGAGGAGGTGTGCAGCTGACGCTGGCCGCTGTTTCTCTCGCAGGGCGGACGAAGGTGTTCAGCCGGACCCCTACTTTGGCCTGAAGTACATCGGCGTCGGCCGAGGGGGCACCCTGGAGCTGCATGGGCAGAAGAAGCTCTCCTGGACCTTCCTGAACAAGACCCTGCGCCCAGGCGGCATGCAGGAAGGAGGCTATTTCTTCGAGCGGAGCTGGGGCCACCGTGGAGTCATCGTTCATGTCATCGACCCCAAATCGGGCACAGTCGTCCACTCTGACCGGTGAGGCTTGCGTTCGCTCCGCGCACGCGTACTGCGCGCCCCAGCCGGCGCTGCTCCGGGTGCTGGGAGAGCGGCCGTGGGCGAAGCAGCCGGGAGTCCCGTCCTCCCCGGCGTCCGCCTGATGACGCTGAATTGCGCAGGAGCAAACGTGCACATGGCACGTTTCAGAAGGTGGCTTGGTACTAGGTGGGAAGGAGACGGAGAAGGTGATGGGGAGACCACCTTGCGCGGGTGGTCGGGGGGCCAGCGCCAGGCAGCAGCATGTGAGCTGAGCGCTGCCAGGGAGCGCGTGTCAGGGGAAGTGTTCAAGACAGACAGCAGCGAGGGCAGAGGGCGGGGGTGTGACAGGGCGCAGTGTTCTCAAAGGATGGAAAGGCCACCAGCGGGGCGGGGGTCCCGTGAGCAATGGGGGCTGCAGACAGAGGCGGGGCGTCACGGGCAGGGGCATGTCCAGGAGGTGGGCTCTGTCCCAAGCGAGATGCATGGCCACTGAAGAGCTTTAAGAAGGGCACGATCTGATCTAACACACTGGCTGCCATGTGAGTTGTATTTGACTCAGGCTAGTTTTGAGCCCGGGGCCTCCTGAAGCAAAACCCTGCAGTTGGTTCGTGAAAATCTTACTTGATGTTCCTATTGCTACAATATTGACAATTTAATTCTAAAAATGTGGATTGCGTTGCATGTAAGTCACGCACAGAAAACAATAAAAAATAACACATTAGAAAGGATCGTTTTGTTTTAATAAAACACCGTGGCCCCAGGGAAATTTTTTTTCTTAGTGTGGCGGTCAGCGTGCTAAAAGAATGTTCCGGTGCTGTGTAGAGAAGGGATTGATTGTGGAGGGCCAAAGTGAAGACAGCAGAGGTGGCTGGGAAGCTTCTGCTGTGCTCTAGGCAGGAAAGGGCCTGGACCATCCCCACCCGGTGATGAGGACTCGGGTAGAAAGACGAGAACTTGAGAGCTGTCTGGGGGCAGGAGAGGCAGGTCTCCCGCTCGCTCCCCCTCACCCTCTTCCCTGGCTCCGGGTTCTGCAGAGGCGGGACCTGCCCCTCCAGCTCTGGGTTCTCTGGGCCCTTCAGGGGTCCCAGGGTGCTCAGAGGGAAGGACAGCAGCTGGGGCAGACAGCAGACACGCAGCTGTCCTGGGGCTGCTGGGGGAGGGAGCCACGGGACTCCCCAGGAACAGGGCTCGAGCCGTGAGTGTCGCCGTCGAGGCAGCAGGAACCAGCTGAGTCAGGGCCAGGGCAGGGCGCGGGAGCTGGAGCGCTGGCCGGCTCTCGTGGACAGCCACACTTGACCCTGTGGGGACTCCTGGCAACAGTGGCACAAGCGCTGGACTCGGTGGGAAACCCCGTTCGTCACTTTCCCTGCCACGTGTATCACACTACTCTCCATGAAAATTCCGGGAGGCAGGTTCTGCTGCTATCGCTTTGCACAGGTGGGAACACGGAGGCTCAGGGGGCTAAATTTGTCAGGGTCGCAAGGTTGCTGAGTGTCGGAGACGGGACCCAGACCCACATCTGCCTGGACTCTTTGCGCTGTGTCGCCTCCACCAGGAGGGCGGGTCGTCCTCAACGGGTGGTGCCAGGCTTGCAGCCACGGTTCCTGGGCGGGGCAGCGGAGGACACGGGGTTCGGGGTTCGACGGGGTTGGACCTGGTTATGCAAACAGCTGAAAACAAGTTTGAGGACTCAGGAACACCTATCCAGCTACCACTCGTACCGCCATCGTTTTCCTTTTCCAAAACCTGCTGGCTGTGCACGCTGGCTTGTTTCTCTGGATCCATCGCAGAACTGTTTTGCTTACGTTCCAAGACACATTCTTTTGCAATTTCCATTGTAATTGCACAAAATCTTTATACTTAGGGGAGAGTTGGGATCATTACAAAATTGTGTTTTTCCTTTGTAAATTCTTCTCACCATTGGTATAGTTTCTTTTGACATTTATATTTTATGTGTGTGAAGGTGGGCTGTCACTGTCGACTTTGAGATTGTCGGTTCTTGTGATGAGACCTGCTACATGACATTGTACAACAACCCTGTGTCGTGCACTTAAATATTTGTGGAGAGGGTAGATCTCTTACAGTAAGTGTTCTCACCACAGTAAAGTAAAATAATTTTTAAAAAGGTAAACAGGAACAAAACTAGGAATGCGACATTTACGGTAGGCAAGGGTTATGTCACTGCCCTGTGTAAATCAAAGGTGACATTTTAACGATTCTAAGAGGCATTAGTATAAGTAGGTGGTTCTGGGGACAGGAGAAGTGATCTGGGATAATCCTCATGTCATTTTCAAAAATTTTGGAATTGGTGTTTCAGTCTAGAGCAGAGAGAGAAATTCCCGATGCTCTAGATGTTGGAACTGCCTCCTAAAGTCAAACTCTCGCACGAGGCATGAGCCGCGGGCTCCAGGATGAAGGGGGAATATCAGAAGTCCTGGACCCCGAGTATGTGACCCACTGAGCGTCCTGGAGCGTGAGGTCTCTGCTGCCGCCATGATTTCTTTGGCATTTTATCCAGGGAACGATCACTGTGGTTCAGTCAAATCCCTTCTTCTTGGATGTCACCGTAGGGGTGTCAGCAAAATAAGTAAACGTGTTTGCTCTTTTTAGCAAAGGCTCATTTCTTTACAAGTCACAGCCCTTGGGATCTTTGGGTGGCGGGTCAGTCGTTGTAACATGGACACGTACTTAGATATCTCTTTTTGTGGCTGCTGTCAAAACCATTCGATTCCCTTCTCTGCCCTTTTTAGGTTTGACACCTATCGATCCAAGAAAGAGAGCGAACGTCTGGTCCAGTATTTGAACGCTGTGCCCGACGGAAGAATCCTTTCTGTCGCGGTGAATGATGAAGGTTCTAGAAACCTGGATGACACGGCCCGGAAGGTGATGACCAAACTGGGCAGCAAACATTTTCTACACCTTGGATTTAGGTATGACTATCACTTCCTCCTCCAGCGGGCCCTGGGGCGCTGAAGCAGCCCCGTCCCACCTGCATTTTACCTTTTCCTTCCCCTCCCCACGGCCATGCCAACCTAAGTGACAACCCAGAGGGACGCAAGCTCTTTGTCCATCTGCACTGGACGTATTTGAGGATTGTTCTTAAAGGAAGCATGGTTTTTCTTAGAAGTGTAGTCCATTCACAAAACATAAAAGCTCTCTGTTTACGTGAACTCATTCAGTGGCCACTGACACAGTATTAAGTGAGCATCTACTGTGTGTGAGAGCCGTGCCTTGGACGTGCAGCTAACATTCCTCTTCCCTGTTCTTGGCAAAGGGGTCGTGTCACGCCTTGGGGACTGGGAGACAGTTCTTTAAGGGATTATGCAAAGTGTCTTTGCCCAGGAAAATGCCCCAGAAAAAGGGGCCTTTTGATATGTTCAAGTGTGTGTTTTGTTGCCTTGGATTGTAGCATCACGCCTGGCGTTGCCATGCACACACCTTGGCGCCAAGAGGAGGCTGTTTGCCCATGGCCAACGCAGCTCTTACTGTGCTGAATCAAACCTCAGCTCAGTGGAAAGGCGGGCTGTCTGCCCCTGGCTGTTTGGGGGTTGTGATGCCCCTCCCTTCGGCTCTCCAGATCAGGGACAAGGTTGGGGGCAGGTTAAGGCCTTTAGCTGAGCCATTCTGCTGGCTGGGCAGAGATGCCCTGGGCTGGGGAGGGGCGCTTCAGGTTCCAGGACGTGTTCTCCAACAGCCCAGGGGCTGCCCCTTCTGGAAGGGAAACTCAAGCAGGAAGCCGAAGCAGCCAAAGATAATCACGATACCTTGGCATCGAAGGCTCCTTGTTGGTAAACGCTAAGTGCCCTTCCATTTCATTGTTTATAACCGAGAGGCCAGTTCATTAATTTAGAATGAGAGAGAGCACCTCGAGGGGACTGGCTACCTGGGGCCTCGTGCAAAGAAGGTGTCAGCGAGGGGGCCAAGGCCTGGCATCGAGGGGGCCAAGGCCTGGCATCCAGGGGCCTGAGTCCGAGTCTGGGCCGCCTCCCCCACGAGGTGTGAGTGTGGGCAGGTGGCTCATCCTCTCTTTGCTCGGCTCTTGAGTCTGCGAAGCGGGATCTCCGCGAGCTCTCTCAAAGGACTGTGGGGAGGATTGAATCTAATCATGGGAGCAAACGTGAGCCATCCTGTCTAGCACAGAATAAGAACTCGACGCGTGTTGGCGACCATTTCATCCTTATAAACAAGAGGCACAGAAAGGTGGCCCTTTTGTCAGGGCCGTTCACGTGGGCAAAGGAGACACGTGGCAGGAACCACACCCCCCCTCACCTGGCTAGAGACACACTTTGAGGGATGAGCGTAAAACATCTAAAATCAGTAGAGGAGCTGAGACTCGGCCCCTCGTGCGTTCTTCGGTTCAGACGTGTTACTGGACACGCGTCGGCGGGAGGCGCCGGGCCAGGCAGGTGTCCCAGGCTCTCGGGAGGCGGACGCTTGCGGGAACTGCTGACGGGCGTGAGAGCGGGGCGTGGGGGCTGGTGTGGACTTACCGGGGAGGACGGCAACGCGGCTTCCCCACAGGGAGACCAGCAGGTCCGGGGCTCAGGGCCAAAGCCTCCCTGAGAAGGCTGGGAGCCCGGTGCGAGAGGGTGAGGGGCCGGAGACAGGCCGGGAGGGGAGCGCGGGAGGCCTTGGCTCTGCGCGAGAGGCTGGTCTTGAGCAGGAGAGAAACACCGTCAGACCCCCGACCTCAGCTAAGCACCGCTCAGTAGGGACCCACCTCCCAGGGCAAGAGATCAGAACAAAACGGTAAGAGCTGCTCAGCACGGAATCTGTGACGTCCTGCAGGGAGAGCAGCTGCCGCGGGGGAGGAGAAGTGTCACCTCCCACCCGCCCGCGTTCTTGGCTGGGGCACCTGTCACACACGGCCGATTAGCAAGAGGAAGCGCACGAATGCGTTTACGACAGAGGGTTTTATGTGCGTGGGAGCCTCCCCAGGAAACGGGGACCCGAAGGAACAGCTAACCCGGGTGTCCTCGCACAGGTCTGGTGAAGGGTGGAGAGCCCTGGACCAGTGAGACGGGGACAGGGACGGATGAGCTGAGGGTCGTCAACTGGAGGAAACCCAGCGAGGCCTGTCCCACTAGATTCCTCTCGGGTCCCTTGTCTTCAGGGACAGGGTGCTCCTTTCCCCTGGGAATACGGAGGCCCCTCTCCCATGAGGACCTGCTTCCAGGGAAGGTCAGAGAACCTTCCTGCTGTTTCTCAAATTCTTCCCGCCCAGACCATGCCAAGGTGCCAAGTTCTGGGGCTGCGTGTCCTGAACCCCAGCAGCGCATTAGGCATCACGGGCAGACACGTGTAAGAGCTTCCCGGCTCCATGGCGGCGCACGCGTTAACGCAGGAAAGACGAGTGTCCCGTTTCTCAGAATCTTGAACCACCTTCTTCTTGGTCCCTCCCCATCAAGAGGAAGAGAGATTTCTCTCCTTTGGGGAGTCGCCACATCAGCCTCCGGCATGTTCCTCGAGCTCGACCCCAGGGCGCCGGAGTGAGAGGGGTGGCCTTTCTCTCTTGGAACACGGTTCCCTTGTTTTCCTAAAGGCATCGAGCACTCGCGTCAGGCCGTAATTGAGCTCGGCGGTGGCACGGTGGCCCGGTGGCGTGCTTGCTTATTTGTGATTCGTGCCCGGCTCCTGCCGGGCGGCCTTGCGGAGCTCGCGGGGAGCGGATGCCGGGCGGGCCGGGCTTGCGCAGCGAGACTCTTCTCCCGCGGCAGGGAGGCCGGCGAGTGAGCGGATCTCCCCCGGACGCGGGACGGCTGCTCGTCCGCTGGACGCTGTTTCAGCTCTGCCCCCAGCACAGGTTCAGACGTGGGCAGAACTCGACTTTTGTGTTTTTTCAGACACCCTTGGAGTTTCCTGACTGTGAAAGGGAATCCCTCTTCTTCGGTTGAAGACCACATCGAATACCACGGTAATAACAGCCGGCAAGAGCCTGCTTCCCTCTGGCCCGAGGCGCGGGGTCCCCCGGGTGGGCCCCTCCCCTCAGAGCGCAGCTCCCATCCCCCAGCTCGAGTGGCGGCTGCTTCACTGGCCTGTCACACGACAGTGGCAAAGGTCTGTACTGGTCGAAGGCCATCACTCGCAACAGTATTCACATGTTCAACGAAGTCTTCGTTGACTTAATCCAAAACATAGAGGTGGCATAGAAAAGATAAGAACATGGCCGGGCGCGGTGGCTCATGCCTGTGATCCCAGCACTCTGGGAGGCCGAGGCGGGAGGATCGCTTGAGCTCAGGAGTTGGAGACCAGCCTGAGCAAGAGCGAGACCCCGTCTCCACCAAAAATAGAAAAATTAGCTGGGTGTGGCGTGCACCTGTAGTCCCAGCTAGTTGGGAGGCTGAGGCAGGAGGACTGCTTGAGCCCGGGAGTTGGAGGTTGCTGTGAGCTAGATTGATGCCACTGAGCTCTACCCAGGGTGACAGAGTGAGACCCTGTCAAAAGAAAGAGAGAGAGAGAGAGTGAGAGAGAGGAGAGGGAGGAAGGAAAGAAGGAGAGAAAAGAACTGGGACAGAGTCAGCAGGGGTGGTATTTCGAGCTACAGCGACTCGTTAGATGGGCCTTCACTGCACAAGTGGCCTCCCCGGCGCAGCAAGGGTTGCGGGAGGCGCTGCTGGTTCTGATCCCGGGGACAAATTCAGATCGTGGGAAAGGACGGGCTCCAAAACCGGCTTTGTTGCAATGCCACGACTAAACTTTCCAAGTGGAAATTTAAAAACTGGACAATAATCTGTTGCTTCCCAAGTGAAAGAATGGCCTGATATTTTTCTTTAACTTAAATTTGTTTTTTAAAAAGAAACGGCTCAAGATCCATGTGTGCAGGGGGGTCGCCCTGCCTTGGAATCACGACCTTTGTGTCTGTGGGTCTGTCTGGTTGCTGAAGCGTCTGGTCTCTCCGACAGGACACCGAGGCTCCGCCGCCGCCCGGGTGTCCAAACTGTTCCAGACAGAGCACGGCGAGCATTTCAACGTCTCTTCGTCCAGCGAGTGGGTTCAAGGTGAGGAGTGTGGGGCGACTTAGCAACACCCAGCTGTGGGATAAAAGGCAGGAATCAGTCTTTGCAGAACAAGGATTTTCCTCTTGCTCCAAGAGAGCCACTTACCTGTTGCAGAATGAACTAAAACTTGGCAACCGCGAGCTGTCTTTAATCAGTCCAGCCGCGTTAACCAGTGGCCCTGGCTAAGGTTGGAATTTCACCTCACTGGGAGTCGTGGCCTTCAGTTTGGTTCGCAGAATATCTCTCATGCGCCAGGCAGCGCAGGCGGGAACAGGGCCTGACCGTCCACCAGCCCCACCGCGGGGCTGCAGAGCCGCAGTGCTGGAGACGGTCCTCAGATAACAGGTTTACGGAGGGATTTTGTTTCTCTCCTTTTCATTTCTTTGCTTTTGCAATAACAAAGAGTACATACTGCTTGTATAAAACAAGAAACTCAGTAAGAGGTGTTTTAATTAAAAGATGGGAGGTAGGAGAACAGGCAGACTGTTCAGGGCCACCCCTGCCTCAGCCGGGTGCAGGTACAGGCGGGTGATATTCATCCCTGTCGTGCTTGGGGACGACACTGGCCGTGACCGTCCAGTGTGACTTGCCGTCACGGACGACCTCCTGTCTGACCCTGCTCTTTGCTTCTCGCCTAGACGTGGAGTGGACGGAGTGGTTCGACCACGACAAGGTGCCCCAGGCTAAAGGCGGGGAGAAAATTTCAGACCTCTGGGCGGCTCACCCCGGAAAGATCTGCAATCGTCCCATTGACATTCAGGTACCAAACTCCCCTCGGACAGGCAGAGGGCTTCGCTCTGAAGGAGACTCTGTATCCCTGTGTCTTGTCACGGGGCGGCGCGATTCCCCGGCCCTCCCGTGAGATGGGCAAGCCCGAGGGTCAGTCATGGTAGAGACTGAAGTGGAGGCTTATTTTCTGCCCAAAGCGGGGACTCAGATTCTTTCCTGGGTCCAGCTCCTGCGTCCCTTCTCTGCCTCCCGCGCCTGCGTCTCTCCAGCCATGGCAGAGCGCCGGACGCAGGGCTGCGCGGGGCCCGCACAGCCTGGCTCCCCAGCTGGTTTCCTCAGGGCCCAGTGTGCACAGGGTGCAGCTAGGATCTGGGGTGCAGGCCGGGCCGGCCCAGACACGGAGCACGCCCGCGGCCTGTGCTCCGCTGAGCCCCGTCTGAGCCACATTCTCAGACTGGACGGCGTGCGCTCGGGGCTTCCCTCGCAGTTGATTGTATCTGAAGGCGCCTCGACTTTCTCGTTGGCTTCGCCAGGGAGGTGCTGAGTAAGGACACAGGCCTCCCAGCGCCCAGCTCGGCTGGTGGGATGCTGGGCTCCGGGCGCAGAGGAGGGAGGGGACGCAGGCAAAGTAACGGGGCTGATTTCCGCACGCCCAGGCTTGTTCTTAAACAAGGCTTGAGACGCTTAAATGCTTGATATAGAGTTTGAAGTCATTCGAGAAAGGCCATCACTGCCCGCTTTATCCCCTTTCAGCCAATAAAAACAGTGACCAGATTCGTACAGCGCTTTCTCCCAGACGGTGGACGCTTGGGTCCCAGGTCATCTGACTGTGCCTCCTCCCCACGGCCCTCTCTGGGCCAGAACATCCACCCTCCCCGGTGCACTGTGGGAGCCGCCTGTCCAAGGGCAAACTCTGTTCTGCACTTGGCGAAGGTCGAGGAAACCTTTCTCGTCACTGGGCCTGGCCGCTTCCCTCCCCAGGGCTCCATTGTTATTGGGAAGGATTTACCCAGATTAAGTTGCAAGATGCAGACTCTCCTTGGGTCCAGCAGACTCGAAAAGCACTGACCCCCCCACAAAGCACATCCTTCCCAGATTTAATTTTAATTTTCTCTTGCAACCCTGAACGTTCCAGCTTTAATTCTGAAATCGCCGTGGTCTTATCCCTGTCGTTCACTTGACCACAGGAAGCAAAGTTCTTTACCAACCTCCCCTCTCCAAATACCTCTGGAAATCCTCGAGAAATGCTTACAGGGTTTTCAAATCCCACTGGTGTCTGCGCTGCCAGCGTCTGCTGCAGACCACTGTTGATCGGAAGACCACCTCCCCGTGCCGGGAGGACGGCGGCCTTAGCCATTCCCCACTCTTGCATTTATTAATACTTTGCTCCCAGCACGGACAGGCCCTGCCGTGACTGTCCCAAAACATTGTTAAGCCCAGACTGAGAACTCTGCAAGCCAAGACCTGACCCCAGACTTGATCGATAGCCACAGCCTGCTGCCATGTTGCAGGGCCAGGCTTCCTTCCAACAAAAGAAGTACCCTTGGTAGTGAATTCCCTGAGTTCCAATTCTCAACTATTTGAGGTCCAGAGAAGAATAAAGGACCCAAGGACAGTGCAATGCCCTTATCCTGACGCTTAGGCCAGACTCCCCACGGTGAAAGTGTCCTTTGGAATGTTTGCTGGGCACTGAAGCCCCTCATTAGCTCAAAGCTCCCGACTCCAGAACAGGACGTTGGCTTTTTCTTGGCAAAACCAAGGCCCGCCGAGGGAGTCATCTAGGAGGTTGAGGGTCACGTGCCCCGGCGGCGAATCCAGACCTGGTCTCTAGAGAAAAGGAGCAGGCGCCGCCACCTGAGTGCCAGGCTTGCCCCCGGGCCCCGGTTGGCAGCCCCCAGACCCTGCTGGAGCATCTCTTTGTGTTCAGGAGGGTGGCGGTGCTGGTGCCGACATGCTCCGGTTGTTTCCACGGCCAGGACAGCAAAACGGCCTTGTGCCTGCTCACGAGAGGGGAGAGAAGCAGGATCCAGCCTTTTCGGAAGGTGCCCAACACACAGGCCAGGAGCGGAATGCCCGGTTAACCCGGGGAGAGAATGAAGCAAGCAGGACGTCCCGCCTGCCCACCTGTGCCACTGTGGGAAGTCACAGTTTGCCGCGGCACCTGGCGCCAGGGCCTCCCACCTCCCGTGTGCTCCTCTGTGGCCGCGCCGGCCCCGGGGCCTGGATGCGTGCCCTGCACAGGGTGGGTCCCAGGACCCCTGCCCTGCGCTGCCGGAGGGGTGTCAAGGACGTCTGTGACGGGGACAGGATTGCAGGAGGCCGGCTGGGAAGAAAGAGGGAGTAGTGACATTGGCCCAGTCGAGCTCCAGGAAACTTTTTCCAAGATCTCATGTTTTATGATTCTTCAGAAAACAAGAACGAAAAAACGAAAAGCCGAAAAGATCTGAGTCTGCCCGAGAGATCAGAGCTGCCCCTGGGGCGCTCTGGTGGGTCAGCCGGCAGGTGCCAGGGGCGAGGCTGAGGCAGCACCCCGCCAGGCGCCGACCCTGCACGGCCCGAGCAGTGAGTGCCACCGCGCTTCCGTGCCCCTGGATACCACCTGTCGGGTCGTTGACCTTAGTGCCTCAGTTTCCCCACATGCAAAAATGGGGAAAATAACTGCTCCCTCATGGGGTTGTTTTATGGATTTAATACAACAATACATGAAGCCCCCAAACCAAAGTGAGAGCTCATAAATCTTGTTATTTAAAATTATTTTATCATTAGTTATAGTATCATTCATTATTTTATTATTGTTATCGTGAATAATGATAAAATTATGTACTTAAAGTGAGACCGTTTCACCGGATGGCGGTGGACCCCTTTTTACTCTTCTTACCCAAAACTGAAGTCATGGTTCAGGTTAGAAAAAGGAAAAAGCAGCAGAACTGAGATGTTCCCTCGCATTCCTTGTCGGACATTGTACCTGGAAAAGTGTCCAGCCGCGTCCAATGGCGTTTCCCTGCTCAGCTCTCGGCATGCGGCGCCTCCTACTGAGGACCATTCTGTCGGCTTCGGGGGAAACATCAGGAGGCCAGAAGCTCTGGGCTCGACATTCAGGTGACCTTGAGCTTACACCTGAGCCTCTCTGGGCGTCAGCGTCAGCTTTGTCCGAGAGCGGGTCTGCGGCCATCTCTCTGCCGCCGAGACGACCCAGACGGCGGGCGTGAGTGCGCGGCCTGCAGGAGAGGACAGGATTTCCACCGCAGCTGAATGTCTGCGCGGCCCCCCTTTCAAGCCAAAGATGACGGTTCTGGCTGGTGTGGTGGCTCCCGCCTGTAATCCTAGCACTCTGGGAGACCGAGGCGAGCAGATTGTTTGAGCTCAGGAGTTCGAGACCAGCCTGAGCAAGAGTGAGACCCCGTCTCTACTATAAATAGAAAGAAATTAATTGGACAGCTAAAAATATATATAGAAAAAATTAGCCGGGCATGGTGGCGCATGCCTGTAGTCCCAGCTACTTGGGAGGCTGAGGCAGGAGGATTGCTTGAGCCCAGGAGTTTGAGGTTGCTGTGAGCTAGGCCGACGCCATGGCACTCTAGCCCGGGCAAAAGCGTGAGACTCTGTCTCAAAAAAAAAAGAAAAACAAAAACAAAGATAATGGTTCTGCCGGGTTCAAAACAGTGTTTCCTAAAAAGGCTCCTCTTTTTTTTTTGATTGGCTGTACTTTCCTTCCTTATTACCCGGCCCTGGTCCCTTTGGTCTCTGTGCCAAAGACGACAGCAGCTGCAGCCCTCGGCCTAAATTGCATGTCTCTGAACAACAGTCGCAGTCCGAGTGCGGACACGCCCTGGCTCTGGGATGAGCCCCAGCTGGCAGGGACCGTGCCCTGCTGGGAACCCGCTCTAAACTCTCCGACTGCCTCATAGCTGCCTCCAGTCAGCCCTCACCGACTGACCCCCCCGCCCTGCCCCCATGCCGGGCTCCCGGCTAGAAGCTGGGGACGGGGGCAAAAGCCTGCTCCTTGCCCTCCCGGAGCCCACAGTGCCAGGGGAGGAGGAAGACATCTGAGCAGAGGACGTCAGGCTCGGAGCACCTCAGGGCAGGAGTGGGAGGATACGTTGGTTCCAGGTTTGGCTCTGCCACTGACTGGCTCCGTGACCCTGGGCAAGTGACTCGACCTCGCTGAGGGTCTGTTTCCTTATCTGTAAAACTAGCAACGACATCCTAGATTTGCTGTGAAGTTGGAATGAAATAATCTGCATAAACGGTTAGCTCCATAACTCCAAAAGCAGTGCTCAAACTTTTCTGTCCATTAAATCCAGCTGTGCAGGCTGCAGCCCAGATACTGTCAAATCTGAGACTCCGAGGATGAAGTCTGGGCATGAGTATTGTTTAAAAACTCTGGCCGGGCGCAGCGGCTCGCGCCTGCAATCCTCGCACTCTGGGAGGCCGAGGTGGGAGGATCACTTGAGGTCAGGATTTTGAGACCAGCTTGAGCAAGAGCGAGACCCCGTCTCTACTAAAAATAGGACAATTAGCCGGGCATGGTGGCGCATGCCTATAGTCCCAGCTACTAGGGAGGCCGAGGCAGGAAGATCGCTTGAGCCCAGGAGTTTGAGGTTGCTGTGAGCTAGGCTGACGCCACGGCACTCTAGCCTGGGTGACAGAGTGAGACTCTGTGTCAAAAATAAATAAATAAATGTAAACTCCCCACGCGATGTGCAGCCATGTCCGGGCGCCAGGGGACTGAACGCAGCGAGCCCTCAGGGAATGGCAGCCGCCGCTCCTGGGGCTGGCTGTGGCGGTGCAGGGGGTGACAGCACATGCTTGCTGCGGGTGCCCCGTGGAGTGTTCGCCAGCCGTAGCAGTAAATCACCGGCCTGGATACCGAGTGCCGCAGGATCCAGGCAGGGCGTTTGCCCGTTCCGAGACTTCGCGCTGCCTTTCTTAGAACTGACGGGGCAATCAGTGGATGACAATCCGAGGCCATGGCAGATAGTTTTGCAGCAGGGACGATTTTAGACTTGCGAGTGTGTGTCTGGAACATTAATCATCGCCTTCCTTCTTTGTGGAAAAAAAAAAAAATGACTTGCTCTGTAATTTCCATGTCATTCCCAGGCCACCACCGTGGATGGAATCAGCCTCAGCGCCGAGGTTGTCTACAAGAAAGGCCAGGATTACAGGTTCGCGTGCTACGACCGCGGCCGAGCCTGCCAGAGCTACCGCGTGCGCTTCCTCTGCGGGAAGCCCGGTGAGCAGCCCCTCGCGGGGGACAGAAACGCAGCCGTGGCTCCGCTCCCGGCGTCTCAGTGACGCAGCGCTCCTCGTGCAGGGCACTTGTGACCCGGGAGTGGCGGAAGGGTCCTCTGAGTTGGCAGGAGACAGCGGAGCCCCACCCCGCCCAGGGGCGTTTCGGGAAGGGGAGGGGCCCGCAGGGACTCGCAGCTCTTTGCCACTCTGGCTGCTGTCGTGTTGAAGCCGGTTGCCGAGGTGCTCGTTAGAAGGGATGGGAAATGGCGGGTCTGCGCTCGGAGGCCCTCGGCCACCTCCAGAAGGCCGTCATTAGGGATGGGAATAGGTGGGGGGAGAGGTTTACGGCCACCGTAAATAACAGTTGAGAAAAACCGTATTTGTTTTATATCTTGGCGGAGTGGGCGCGGTGAGAAGCCGCGTTTAACCGCAGCTGAGAAGTAGTGGAAAATTCCCTGCACAGAGCTAATGAATGGCTCTTTTCTGGTGGGGTTTTTGTTGACTTCAAAAACCTGGACCAAGACCGGGAGGGCATGAGCCAGCGATTCGGGTTTTGGATAGGCAAACCTGCGATTACTTATTTCGGGAGGGGAGGGAGGAGCCGACGGCCGACAGCTTGCCAGGGGCAGAGGCTGCATCTCGGCCTTCCTGCTTCGTCACAGTGAGGCCCAAGCTCACGGTCACCATCGACACCAACGTGAACAGCACCGTCCTGACTCTGGAGGACAATGTGCAGTCGTGGAAGCCCGGAGACACCCTGGTCGTGGCCAGCACCGATTTCTCCATGTACCAGGCAGAAGAGTTCCAGGTGCTTCCCTGCAGAGCCTGTGCCTCCAACCAGGTCAAAGTGGCAGGTAGGACTTCCACGAACCCCTCCCTGGGCTGGATGAATCCGAACATTGTTAGGGTTAAAGTAAGCTAAAATCACAACAAAGCCGTATCAGTCAGCTATGGCCCTGCTAATGCTGCATGACAAAAGAACCCTAAAATTTCATGGCAAGAATTTATTGGTTACTTGTGCATCTGCAGCTTGTCTGGGGTTCAGGTTCTCTAGCGTGATCCCAGCTCCGAGTGAGAGTTGGGCTCAGGTCAGCTCCATAGGCCTCCTCCTTCCCAGGACGTGTTCTTCTCGTGAGGAAGGTTGAAAGCTCCTAGCAGGGTGAGCGGGACCACGGACTCTCAAGTCCTAGGCTGAGAACTGGCAGCGCTCGCACCCACTGTCCACTGGCGAAAGCAGATCACATGCTGAAGCTCCACACAGATGGGACGGCGAAGCTTGTTTCTCCCACCAAGATTGGGGCGGGGAGTGAATGTTTGTTAGGCAGTCGTTCAATCTGCCACAAAACTTTAAATCTCTCTCTAGCTTTTGGGTTTTCCTTCCTTCTCCTAAATCTTGACTTAGAAGCCTTGTAATTTATGTTATGTGAGGTTACTGGAACCACAGATTGTTAGAGGTAAAAAGAGACCTCAAGTATAACCCTGGGTAACTATTCTTAGCAGGGGGAGCTATGTGTCAAGTAGGGTTCTTCGGTTGTGAGCAACAGAACCCAACTCAACTATCCTAAGCAAAAAAGGCATTTACTGGGCGTCTCTTCAGCTTCGAGGGCGAAAGTCGAAGCTGCTCAAGCAGGCTGCAAAGGACAAGAACAGCTTCAGGGATCCCAGTAGCAGGAATGAACGGGCAGCACCCTTAGGGTGTTGCTGTCTTTAAGCACCGCGCTCAGGCCCCGGGACGCGGTGCTCAGAAGTCGCCTCCCAGGGAGAGAGCGTCTGAGAGGTGAGCAGCCTGTGTGCTCACCCTGTGGCCAGGAAAGGCGAGGACCCGCGCTGACAGTTCTCCTACGGCTGCAGTAGGTGGAGAAAGGCTCATTCCCCCCCCCAAAATTAGGACGTATGACCAGGAGAGAAGGGGAATCGATCATCTCAGTCCTCTCAGTCGCGGCGCCGTGAGGGGCGGCTCTGAACACGGTTCGTGCAGAGAGGCTCTGGGCGTGGCTGTCTGCAGCCGGACGCCTAACGCGATGGGAACGTGCCATCTCAGGTCACGTTCCTGACGACATTTAGAAGAAGGCATTCTGGTTTTTTGGTAGAGGCGGAATAGCGTAAATGAAAAGCGTGAAGGGCCCAGGCTCTGGGACCAGGGATCTGGGATCCAAATGACAAGAACCGCAGTTACCGGCTGTATGACCTTAGACAACTACTTAACCTCTTTCTGCCTCAGTTTCCTCATCTGTAGAATGGTGATAATGATCATAACACTTCATGGGGTTGTTGTGAAGGTTAAAGGAATTTATAGGTGTGAGGTACTTAAAATAGCACCCAGCACATGGTGAGTGCTCCATAAATGTTAGTCGCAGCTATTATTCATACTGGGGCAATAATTTCGTAACTAAACTTGGGAGGGGAAGGAAGGGTGCAGCTGCAGGTCATGGTCGCACTGTGTGTTTCTTACGGGCGATCAGCTCTGCCCTTTGGGACGTGCGGGAAGAGGGTGGCGCGGAGGGCGGGAAGCAGGTCGGTATTCGAAGCCCCGGGTGGGGCAGAGCCCTTCCATTTCCCGGGCCTCCTGCCCCCTCACCCGGGGTGCTCCTGGCCCTTCTGGATTATTTGGGACAGATCTGGCCTGGCCTGGCCACGCCTGCCTTTCCCTGGCTGGGCTTCGAGAAGGAAGGGAGGGTGGAGGCCGGGTGGGAGCATCCGCAGGCAGGATGGGGCACGGGGCAGGGGTCGGGCACCAGCTTCCCTCCATAGCCGGCGGGGAGTGGCCCGCGAATGCTGGGACAGGACAGATAAACTGGCTGCCGTGGTGACAGTGACGCTGAGGTTTTGTGCAGGTCCTGGCGGGAGCCCTGGCGGGGAGGAGGCTGAGGGATGGAAGCCTTCCTGCCTCCGTCACTCCTGACCCATCTGGCCGGGCACGACCTTTGGCATCAGATAAGTTAGGAAATGATAGTATATCACACTAAGTAAACTCTTTGTGAAATTACTTTTTTAAGCTGAGACTTGTTAAAGAAGGATTCTGTGGCAGGCTGAATAGTGGCTCACAGATACGTCCACATCCTAATCCTCAGTTCCCACAAATGTAACCTTACCTGGCCAAAGGGACATCGCAGATGTGACAAATCAAGGCTGCGGAGGTGGGAGATTACCCTGGTTTATCTCGGTGGGCCAAGTGTGACCTTAGGGTCCTTGTAAGAGAGCAGTAGGAAGGTCAGGGTCGGAAGAGAAGGTGATGCGATGGCAGGAGCCGAGACTGCAGTGGTGTGCGTTGCGGAGGGAGGAAGGGGTCGTGGGCAGGCAGGCAGCCACTGGACCCGAAAGAGCAAGGAGCAGATCTCCTCTGGGGCCTCCGCGAGGAACCAGCCCTGCTCACACCGTGGTTTTAGCCTTGACCTCTAGGACTGTAAGAGAATGAATTTGCGTTGTTTCCAAGCCACTAAGGTTGTGGTGACTTGTTACTGCAGCGATAGCAGACCCATGCCCAGCCCAAAGGAGGTACTGTGTCGGATTTGCCACCCACCAATTTCACATCTTGAATACGATGCTTCAAAGAAACCACGGCCTCCCTGAGTCTGCAGAATTCCAAAGCAGCAAACACCCTGGAAACACCGCAGGCTTGCAGGGTGTGAGGGGCAGGCAGGGGTCGGGCCTCCCTGTGGTTCAGAGAGCGGGGCAAGGTCACCAGGCTGGGTGGTTGCTCAGGGCTCATTATAACCGCGGCCTTCACATGTGGACACCGACGGTATCTGGGGCTGAGGCAAGGGCCCGGTGGAGGAAGTCAAGGTCACGGTGAAAGGCGAGTGGCGTGGGCGGTGTGGTCCAGGCTGCGGGTCCGCGTGGGAGATTGCAGCTCCCTGTAATTGCATCCTCAAATGGCAGAGACAGTGTCTGCAGCCAGGTCAGCAGTCTCCGCAACGAGCCAAATTTAGAGCCCGGCTGAGATCTCTTTACTGTGGAAAAGAATTCGGGGCTGTAAATCAAAGACAGTTCTGCAGTTTGAACTCCTGTCGCCCTGCACCTTCCTTAAGATGCGTTTTCTGCGCAGATGGAGGGGGAGGGGACTGTGTTTGGCAGGAGACTGAGCACCGTGGGGAGGGAGATGGGGGCAGAGCGGAGGGTCGGTGGAGGGGTAGGTGCCGCCACGGTTCAGGGACTCTGGCCACAGCGGGGAAGAGACTGGCAAGAGCTGGGAGGGGGAACACAGTCGGGGAAAAGGTCTTTGTGTGTTAGTTTTTTAAGGATGGGGAGGCCCAGGGAAGTCTGAAAACAGAGAGTTAGGAGCCCAAGTGCACGAGGAAATGAAGCCACGGGGGAAGGTGAGCTCTTGGGGTCCAGCACCTTGAGAACATGGGGGTTCTGGGGAGTCGGAGCACAGGAGGAGCATTCTCTCCCCCGAGGCCAGAGGGAGGGGGCGAGGTGGCGGGGAGGTCTGTACAGAGTGGGGTGCAGCCTCTCGTCCACGGCCCCGCACGGCACCACCGAGGCACAGAGCCGGCCACAGTGGGGGACACGGAAGCTCCGATCTGGCTCTTTCTGGGGCACCGGGCGGCAGGTCCACCTCTCCGCGAGGCTCAGGGAAGCAGGTGGGACCTGGCCGCTGTGACAGGACGCGACACGGGGGCTGCTTTATCTTCGGGAGAATCCCAGCGGGGCGGCACTCTAGGGCACCAGGGTTCTCGCTCCCGCTGCGTCTCAGGGCTGGTCCTCGTCTGCGTGGCGAGGCTGGCCCTCCGTCCCATCCCGGTGCCGTGCCCCACGGCAAGCGGGCTGGGAAGTGCCGCCCCCTTGGGCCGCCGCGTGTCCAGCCGCGAGGCGGGAGGGCCTCCTACTGAAAAGCAGAACAGGGAGCACTTGTGCGGGCAGCCGGCCTTTTCCGCCAAGACTCACACACGCAAGCTGTGAATCGACTCTACCTCCAGGCACACGCCGTCCCCTTACTGGGCGTCACGCTTCTCTATGGCAGGGCGGGGGTCGCGGGCAGGGCTGGGCGATGAGCAAGCGGCCACCTGGGAGCACCCGGCAGGGCCAAGCACGGTGGGCACAGGGTACCTGCTCTTTCCTACCGCCCCCTTTCTGCCCCAGGGAAGCCGCTGTACCTGCACATGGGGGAGGAGGTGGACGGCGTGGACATGCGTGCCGAGGTCGGGCTCCTGAGCCGGAACATCGTGGTGATGGGCGAGATGGAGGCCGGGTGCTACCCCTACAGCAAGCACCTCTGCAGCTTCTTTGACTTCGACACCTTTGGAGGCCACATCAAGGTGGGGCCCTGCCTGGTGGAGGCCTCAGCCCCCCGCTCCCGGGAGATTCCCAGGGGGCCAGCCTGTGGGTTGGTTTCCCTGGTCAGGCGGTTCCCTCGAGCCCCACGGGAGTGGCCGTGGGGTGTTGCGGAGGGAGTGTGTGGCCCCTCCACGCACTCGCGCCACCAGAGCATGGGCTCTCGAAGGTTCCTGAGTCAGCGTCCTGTCCCCCTGCACCAGGGGAAGGTCTCAGGTGGGGGCGATGGCACAGACTCTGGGTCCCCCCCAGCCCACTGTGACCTGGAGTCCCCAGTGCTCCCAGGGTGTGGTTTCCGCCAGCACCCCTAGGCTGTCCCAGATCGCTGGGACATAGCACTCTTCCTCCTATCCCTCCGTGGCTGGGGAGGCAGGAAAGGAGGGCGGAAGCGAGCCCCAGCCATCACGCAGCCCCCGAGCATCTCCGAGCCAAGCAGCCCGTTGCCTGGCAACGTCCTCTGCCGTTAGTAGCGCCTTCCTGTCTCCCCTCATGTGAGAAGGGTCAGGCGTCCTCACCCCTACCAGAGAGTGTCTTTGATCTACGGAGTCCCTGGGTGGGGACTGACGGAACACCTTGAGGACAACACCTTGCATTCACGGGAGGTGGGCACCAGCCGGGGGGATCAGGAAGCGTCTCACGGGCGCCTCCTGACGCTCGGCCCCTTCCCAGTTTGCACTGGGGTTCAGGGCGGCACACCTGGAGGGCGTGGAGCTGAAGCACATGGGGCAGCAGCTGCTGGGTCAGTACCCGATTCATTTCCACCTGGCCGGCGACGTGGACGGAAGGGGAGGCTACGACCCACCCACCTACGTCCGGGACCTCTCCATCCACCACACGTACTCGCGCTGCGTCACCGTCCACGGCTCCAACGGCCTGTTGGTAAGCACCCCGGGGGGTCTGGGGCCGGGCCGGGGATGGTTGGCATGGGAGGGGGTGTTGGACCTGGACACTCAGTCCAGGACCACTGGGGGTTGAACCATCCTTAGCTCAGATTTCAGGAAGACGTAGACCGAGAGAAGGTCACCACCAGGCAGGAAGAGGAGAGCAGGGGTGTGTCCTTACCAAAGGCCCACGCTGCAGAGATGGGACACTGATTGGTTTGTGGTTTGCCGTGGCTGCGGGGAGTCCAGTTTCTGCTGAGCCTCACTGGCGTGACGTGAGGTCTGGGGACCATTCAGTGGCCACCCAGCGTGACGGATCTGCCAGCTGCAGACGAGGGGGTCCTGCGAGGACTCTGGGCTGGGCACCTGCCAACCAATTCGAGGCAGTGGCAGCACCGGGCCCTTTTCTTCTGTCGACCCGAGGGTTCCTCCAGAGCAGGCACTGCTGGCAGAAGTACCCTCGTTAGCAAACTGGCGTACCTGTCCGAGGTGTGTCTTAATTTCCACAGATAATTTTTACGCTAAATCCATCCTTCTCCAAAGGAACTAAACTTACATCCTCTACAAACTTTAAAACAGGACATCACAAAATGGCACCCTGCAGGCCGAATCCAGCAACCAGATGTGTTGTGTTTGGCTTGCACAGTGTTTAGAGAAACATTTGATAATTTTTATGCTAAATTGATAATTTCACACTAAACTGAACTTTCTTTAAATGAACTACACTTATAGCCTCTATAAACTTTAAAACCGGATGTTGCAAAATGCCACCCTGCGAGCTGAGTCCCCCAACCAGATGTGTTGTGTTTGGCTTAAATGGTGTTTAGAGAAACATTTGAATTAGTTTCCATCATTTAAAAACGAAGAGATTCCACATAAAAATCCGGATCCCTGGCTTCTCTTGAGCAGCAGGGTGAGTTGGCAGCACTGGTCCCGCCTGCCTGCGTGGCCACAGTGGCTCGGAGCAGTCGCGGCTACCACGCAGAGCCGGTGTGTGATCTCCAGCGTGCCCTGGGCCCACCACAGCCGATGACGTTACCGTAAACCCCCCTGGCCGGTGCCACTCCTGTCACTGCCTGCCGGCCCCCAGGGGCATTGGGGTTTGTGGCCTCTAATCCAGGCAGAATGCACCCCCCAGGCAGCGCGTGGTGATGGGAGGAGGCGGAGGCTGTCAGCGTGCCACGCGAAGCCACTTGCGGTTCTATTCAATGCGTTCTTCTACCGGAAAGCAGTGCCTATTGTCTCTGCGTCTGAAATGCTCTGATTTAAAACCTCCCACTGACTGTGGAGGAGAGAGCATGCGCTTTGCAGCCCAGTCTAGGAGGGTTCGAGAGCTTGATCCCCAGGTTGTGAGCTGTGGGATCCTGGCAAGTTGCTTGACCTCTCTGAACCTCGGTTTCCTCCTCAGTCAAGTGGGACAATGGCAGCAGATACACAGGGCTGTCGTGAAGATCAGTGATATGCAAGTGTCCCGGGGAGACCACGGCCCCTGCCCACGGGCTTGCGTAGCAGAGCTGGCCACACGCCAGGGCCGGTTCTTCCCCGCAGGGGGCAGGAGGGCCTTCTGGAGCAGTTGTGGGAAGGCGTAGGGTGTTTCTGCAGCTCAAGGGGGACGCAAAGGAGGATGTTTTCTGGCTGAAGCTGAAGGACCACGGGTTGTATGATACGTACAGAGTCAGGGACACGGCGTGACACTGAGCCCAGGCTCTGCAGCCAGGCGCCGTGAGTCGCAGCCGGGGTTCTGCCACTTCCTAGCCATGTGCTCTCGGCGGTCCCTTCACCTCTCCTTGCTCCTGTGACGTGGGGAGGAGGGCACCGTGCATCCTACGCGGTCGTCTCCAGGTTTGAGCGAGCAGAGGACATGGCAAGTGTGGAGCCAGTGCCTGGGCCATGCAGCCCTGGGAGCAGGTGGCAGGTCGCCCGTTCCCGCCTGCGGTTTGCAGAACGGACGCAGCGAACGCGATCACAGCGCTGTCACTCCGGCCGGCGATTGCGGTCGGCGCACGTGGGGAGAAGTATGAGGTGGGACTGGTCAGGCAAGAAACGGTCCTGCCTGAGTCTGGGGGCTTTGCATGCTCCAGACATTTGTGCTTAGATTCACCTCCGTTTAACTTTACGCAGATGACGAGATGAGGTTACTGGAAGGCCGTCCTTACAGATCCCGGTTGGTGAGAGCGGAGGCCGTTGCGAGTCTCGGGGCAACCTCACACACACACACACACACACACACACCTGCAGTGTGGACACACACACACACACACACCCCTGCAGTGTGGACACACACACACACCACGCCTCTGCAGTGTGGACACACACACACACACCACGCCCCTGCAGTGTGGACACACACACACACACCACGCCCCTGCAGTGTGGACACACACACACACACACACACGCTCCTGCAGTGTGGACACACACACACACACACACCCCCCTGCAGTGTGGACACACACACACACCACGCCCCTGCAGTGTGGACACACACACACACACCACGCTCCTGCAGTGTGGACACACACACACACACACCCCTGCAGTGTGGACACACACACACACCACGCCCCTGCAGTGTGGACACACACACACACACACCACGCCCCTGCAGTGTGGACACACACACACACCACGCCCCTGCAGTGTGGACACACACACACACACACCACGCCCCTGCAGTGTGGACACACACACACACCACGCCCCTGCAGTGTGGACACACACACACCCCTGCAGTGTGGACCTGGGGCTGTGTTTTCCCGCCCGCTTGCTGCGCGGCCTCGTTTGCGCCGTGTAACCAGTGAGGTCTTCAGTCCCCCGCGTGCGGTGGAGAACGTGATGCCTACCCCTCAAAACATGCGTGAAGCGAAGGGTTTTAGGCGGTCTCTGCAGTAGCAAACCTTCCTAGAGCGGGGAGCGCCCTCTCGGCGCAGGAACGGGCTGGGCAGGGAGGGGGGGGCAGGGCGTGCTGGGCGGGGCGGAGGCTTCGGGCCCTGGGGCCCCCGGCGGGGCGGGACTGAAAGGGAGCGTCTGGCAGGCTGTAGGCTGGCCCCAGGAGGCTGGGAGCCTGAGTCAGGGAGACGGGCCTCGGGCAAGAGGGGCGGCGGGTGGGAGCGGCCCCCGGGGCTGCAGTCGCACCCACAGTGGAGGGGACTCTCCGCGGCAGAGCCTGGGCAGCTGCGCGGAAGCAGAGGTGCTCGTGGCCTGAACGCCAAGGCCGCCCTGCCCTCCCTGCTGGCTGCCGGGGATGTGGCGCCAGACCCCGGGTGGCCAGGGAGCCAGCTGCAGCCTGGTCCTGGGGGCCACACGGGCTCTGACCTCAATCCTCTCAGGGCCGAGGTTCAGGGCCAAGCTGGTGGGCTGGGATCTGGCGTCCGCAGCCCTGCGCGGCCTTTCTGGGGCGAAACCAAATCGCCACGGGGCTCGGGATCCCGACGAAGCGCAGGCCCCTGACTCTGCGAGCCAAACGGACAGCAGGGACCCGGGAGCGTCCCGGCGCCCTTCCCCGAAACCCGTGCCCCTGGGCGGGTACCGGGTTGACGGACTGGCAGGTCACCCTGGAAACGCTCCACTGCTGGGGCAGCGAGCGCCACGTTCAGATGCGGCCTCGGAGCTGGGTTCTCCACTGGTATTTGCTTCCTGTGTTTGGCTTGAGGCATTCGCTGACGGCTGGCTGTGTTTGGAAAGCTGTTTCTAGCTGACCAGACGAAAGGAAGCCAGAGACAGACGAAGCCTCGACTCTGATTCGGAACGCAGAGGCCACGCAGTAGCGTCGCAGAAGCCTGTCTCCTGGCTCCAGCCCTGACCTGGAGGTGGGCCAGACCCGCACAGGCAGATGCGGGCCGTAGAACGGGAGCTGCTGCTTGTGCAGAGCTGAGAGGTGCCTTGGGCCCTCGCCCCAGCCGACCAGTGTCCGGAAGCCCCTTGCTCAAGGGCTCCTCCCTGCCTGTGGCCGCAGCCAGCTCCGACGTGCTCCGTGCTCAGAGCACGGCTTCCTTCCGCCCCACCCGCCACCTTTGCTCCTGCCCTTTCTTCACCACCGACTTTTGGGAAGAGTGGCCTGAAATCCTCATTGCCGCCAACTCCCCTCTCCCTCCCCCCGGACTGGCAGATGTGGGCTTCTCAGCCTTTGTTCTCTCTGAGCCTGGCGATGGCTCTCCGCAACGTCACTCCCCAATGTCACCACTGAGCTTAACAGAGCCACGACCCCTCGCCCCCTCATCCAGCTCCTCGCTGTTTTCCACGTGACGAGCACTGCAGGCTTTAGCAGGACGTTGCGGTTGGAGAGCAGAGTCACGGAGACCCGAGTTCTAATCTGCCAGCGTGAGCTCGGGGACCGACGGAAACTGTCTGGGCCTCAGTTTCCTCCCGTGTAAAGTGAGGATGATGGTAGCCCCAACTTCCAAGGGATTTTAGGAAGATTGAGCCAGATGGTGTGTGTGATACTGAACAGGATCATCAGTGAGCGTCTCTACCTGTGTCCTGTGCAAGCAGCGCTGGGTCCGTGACATAGAGGCAGGTGTCCTTACAGTGCAGGAGCGGCCTCTGTAGTTAGGTGACCTCGGCAAACACCGCACATGCCCCCTCTCCTTTTTGGAAATTTGCTGTGCGTGCGGGCATGGCGACGGCTGACAGTAACAGCACAGGCTTAGCTTTGATTCTCCTAAGTGCCTGAACTCAGGTAGCCACAGAGCCTTTGTTCCACACGAGTTTTACGGCTCACGGAGCTAGTGTGCTACAGAACAGAGTTTGGGGCCTGCTTCCCGTGACAGCGACGTTGTCGGTGTGGTCCTTCCTCTGACGCCGGGGCTGGCACCAAGGTGGTCGGCCCTGGCAGATGCGGGGCGCAGCTGCTTCACAGAGGCCTCCAGGGCACGTCATGCGCAGACTGGATGGCGGGAGTGGGGGTGCAAATGGGCTCCCACTGGGTCTTAATGCGGGTTCCTGAACCCCAAGGCAGGACGTGGGGCAATCACCTCCCTGTTCCTCCATTGCGGTGTTTTTGCGGAAGGTAGAAAAAGTCCAGTATGGTTCTGCGTGTTCCGTCCTCCCTCCTTCTTTAAAGCAGAGAAAGACATGGGGGACGGGGATGAACACGTCCTGTCCTTCGTTCCCACCTTGTATGCTGCTTGAAATGTGTCATCTTTGACCTAAATTCCTTCTGTAGCAACCAGACGCTTGAAACCAGGATGTCCCCAACAGGACGCCACATGCAGCCTCACAGGTATGCCCTGCGCTACTCCAGGGCGTGCCATCCGCGTGCCCACAGCCAGCGCCCAAGCCCGCCAGCCGTAGGCACACCCTTGCTTTGCGCTCTGCTGCAGGCAGAGCCCGTGTGCGCGTGGCGGGAGACCCAGCGCCCCCTCTGCCAGCCGCAGAGCTCGGGAATGGCGCGAGTGGCTTCCGTTTTTCCTGCCTAACCCCTTTCCAGTTTCTCGAATTCTCAGCCTCACTCAGGTCTCAACTCACACGGCTGCTGCCATCTCTGCTTTGCACCCGAGCTCAGAGGTGGAACCCAGAAGCTTCACCACCGGCTCAGGGCTCTCACTGGTAGAGTGGGGGAGGGGTGGGGGAGGGTGGGAGGATGGGGGGGATGGAGCGGGGAGAACATCACAGTCCAGCCCAGCGCAGAAGCCAACAGTAAGAGTGAAGTCGCAGGCCCCGCTATAGTCAAACCCTCCCTGCCCCAACCTGGGTGTTGAGTTCCTCCTCCTCCTCCTCCTCCTCCTCGCCCACCGCTCCCCACCTCCCTGGCTGCCTCGCTCTCTCATTCCTTCCCTTATTAGGCAGAGTCCTTGGGCTATCTGTCCCAGCCTCTATTTGCATATTCAAAACTCATTAAGACGCTCTGCAAAGCAAGCAGCCCCCTGCCCCACTCCAAGGGGGCCTTCTCTCCTGCGGTTCAGAAACGTTTTTAAAATAACGGCAGAAGCTCGGAAATGGCAGTCTTCTTTCTAACGTGACTGCATTTGCTGCATTTGCTAGTGTGAACGGTGTCACACCCACCTTGGATGGCAGGAACAAGTGCAGTTCGTGTCCGTTTGTGTGTGTTTATGTCAAACAGCGGCTTATTTTACTTGCTGTGTGCTGGTGGGAGGGACATACAGCCATGTCCCGATTTGCACAGAACGGTTCCATGTTGGACCCGTTGTCCCAGCTCAACGGCTAGTAGCACCCCCTCCGCTCTCAAAATGTCCCGTTCAGACCGTGAACTAAGTAAGCGGTCGCTCTGATTGAAATAGTCCCTGATGGCCGTCTCGGGGTCTTTAATCGACCGGGGAGCCCGGGAATGTTCTCCTTCCCAATCTCACCCCCAGACCACACCTGACAGCGGCGGAAGACCTCAAACGGCTTTCAGAACTGCTTCCTCGACTGCCCCATCGGCAGGGCGGGGATTCCAGGAGAGCAAAGCGGGTGGGTGGAGCTCAGGGGCAGGAGAACAAGGGAAATACAGGTCGCGCAGGGGAACTGCCAGGAGCTCACAGATCCGCCGGCCGGCGAGTAGGCACTGGGTGACCACCGGTGACACGCGTGTGCTTGCGCGCTACTCTGTCTGCGTCCACCTGCCTGACGTGTATCATCTCAAGCGAGGTCACGGTGTAAATATTTAATTCCGGGAAATCCCGAGTAGGGGCAATCCCGAGACATTAGAGCCGGAAGGAACGTTAGACGTCACCCTATCGCTCAGGGACACGCAGGCAGGTCACACGGCAAGTCTGTGGCTGAGCGAAGACTCGAACTGTGTCTTCTCTTGGCTCTGCGTGCCACCCTCACCCGCCCCAGTGGGAGGAAAGAAACACAACCTAAAGTGAGGGGCTTTCTTTCCAGCGCTGCTGAGTGTGGATTAGCGCACAGGTGTGGAATCAGGCAGGTGGGAATCGGTCCCAGTGCTGTCCTTGCAGGAGACGTGACAGGTGACGGTGTAAGTCTCAGTGTTGTTTACGGAATAATACCGTAATAGGGTTGAAATGAGGCAACGTGTAAAACATTCGACACCCCATAAATAGTGGTTATTTTTCTTCCGTTCAGTGAGGTTTTTCTCTCCGTAGCGCGTCTCAGGGATCTCGGAGGGCTTGCTTTTCCCAGGCATTTGTTAAAGTGCAAACGTACCCAACTCATTATTCACTCGCATTCAGAGACGGGCTTCCCGGAGTGTGACCCAGGCAGCGGGCAGGTGGGCGCCCAGGATTTAAGAGGAGCTGTGGGCAGAAGGCTGGGTCTGAGCAGGGCTCCACCGTGAGGTGGCCGGGTGCCCTGGGACACCCACGTCCCTCCTCTGCAGAGCGAAGGCGCTGGACTCGAGCTCAGATGTCCCCGCCAGCCGGAGGGCCCCGTTTCCTGCCCCTCTCCCGTGTCCGTCTGTCCAGACTATTTATAACAGATTTCGTGGCTCAAGGGGAGAAAGGGCAGCAGTCCCACTGGTGACCTCGGGTTGACCCAAGTGCTTATTGAAGGGCTGAGTGAGTCAAGGTCACGCCCTGGCCTGTGGCGGCGGGTGGAGGGAGGGACGCCTGTCGCAGAGGACAGAGAGCTCGCCTGGAACAGGGCGGCCTGTGTGTGTCCCACCCTTAGGAAGTGAGTGGACAGTGAGAAGAGCAAGTTCCAGCCGTGGCTTTGCGCACCAGGCTTGTGTAACTTGGGCAAATCACTCAACTTCTCTGAGTCCCACTTTTCTCATCTCTAAAAAAATTCACCAGAGGGTTACGTAAGACGTAAGAGGCCAGGCCAGTGCTGGGACATGAGGGGCCTGGTCTGGGGACACTTCCATAGGATGGCTGCCTGGGAGTTGGGGAGTAGCAGCTGTCACGTGAGAGCGTCTGCAGGAATCGGGGTGCTCACCCCACATCCGTGCTTCTCAGAGCTGATTTTGTCACCTCCCGCCCGCAACGGAGTAGTTGGCAATGAACGCTGGGAGAAATTTTTGTTGTCACAACCGAGGGGTGCTACGGGCACCTAGCGGGCGGGGGCCAGGGACGCCGCTGAACACCGCACCGCACAGGACAGCGCCGAGGGAGGGGCTGTTTCCGGAAGGTGTGCGGGTTTTCCGTGCATGGTGTGGCGGCAGGTACTTCATGAGGGGGTTGGATGACGTCGCAGGAAGCAGGGCCCCTGGCTGGGTGACGCCATTGGGCAGCCAGCACCTGGGCGGGAGGGAGGGCAGAAGGTGGGGGTGTTTCTCACCACTGCCCACTGGGGAGAGGCCCCCCGGGGGCTGGTCAGCGCCTCCTCTCCGGGGTGTCTGAGCAGAGGGGTGCCCGGCAGGGGCGCTGCGAGCAGCGTCTGGCACTGACAGGGAGGAGGGGCTCCGGCCACGGTCCTTTTAGCCCCTTTGAATTCTGAGATTGAGGGGTTCAGACCCGGAGGGGCTCTCGGGGGTCACGGAGTTGAAGTCCTTCGCTCTGTGGTGGGGAAAGTGACTGAGGAACGGAGGCTTGTCCGGGATGCCCAGGCCGCAGGGTGTGCCGCTGGCCCGCAGCCCTGGTCTCTCAGCGTCTGTCCGAACGCTCTTTCTGCGTCCCCCTCCGACGCGGTGACTCCCGGAGGAAACCGAGGAGCTGGAGTTTGCAGCCCTGTCTGGCTGTCACCCCGGGGGCTGCCCACGGGCGGGGCGTGCGTGAGGGGCGAACCGCTGGCTTGGGTTCCCGCGCGAGGGCGCGCTGCGGGCATCAGTGCTGGTCTTCATAAAAGTGCACCTGGCCCGGCTCAGGCGCTGCTCCTGGGTGAAGCTCCCCCCACGCTTACTCAGGGGGTCTTCTCTGTGGACCCCTCCACAGTAAGTCCTTGTCTGCTGTGCGCTCGGCCGTGAGCGCCATCAGAGTAGGCTCACGGGGCGAGTCCGGGGTCTCCTCTCAGACCCACTCCTCTCCCTTCAGACATCTTGTCCCATAGAGCCTCAGCCCCAGCACTTCCAGCTGGAAGGGACTTTAAAAAGTCACGGTCCCAGTCCCTGCCCTGCCCTTCCCAGCCCCCACCCCTGTGCCAGTGTCTTCTCCACACCCCAGGGCCCCTCCCAGGAGCAGTGTGCAGCTGGCACGATTTAGTGTCTGTTGAATGAACGGATGAACACGTGAATAGGTGGATGCTCGGCGAAACGTCCTGTCTTGACCCCGTAGATCAAGGACGTTGTGGGCTATGACTCTCTGGGCCACTGCTTCTTCACGGAAGACGGGCCGGAGGAGCGCAACACTTTCGACCACTGTCTGGGCCTCCTCGTCAAGTCCGGAACCCTCCTCCCCTCCGACCGCGACAGCAGGATGTGCAAGATGATCACGGAGGACTCCTACCCGGGGTACATCCCCAAGCCCAGGCAGGACTGCAAGTAAGTGCCCCTCCCCTCCGTGCCCGTGTGCCGCCCAGGGCCTGCGCCGGGGCTGGGGCGGGAGGACACGCGTGAGCACGCATGAGCACGCGCTCACTCGGCCTCTCGGCCCGGCGCCTGACCTCTGCACCTCGCGGCTCTGGGCAGCTTGGGCTTCAGCCCTTGACCGCCCACAGCCGTGGCTCCCCGGAGAGAAGGCGGGAGTGTGTCTCCTCCCTTCTCCCTCCTCGGTTTCCCTCCTTGCATCATTCTTGCCCAAAGAGGACCACTGCTCTCAGCCCCGGGGCTTTCCTGATGCCACGCGGTGTTCTTTGATGAGAGGAAGCGGCTGCCACCTCAGCGCCCGCAGTGCGCACACAGAGGCCCCAACCACGCTGACCCTTTTCTAGACATGACAGAGACAGAGAGACAGGGAGGCAGGGAGACAGGGAGACGAGCTCCCTGTGCGGCCAACCTCGGACTCCAGGGCCCCTCCCGGGGGCTTCCATTTATTTCAGAGCCGATCTCAGACTTCACCCACACGCTGCTTCCACCTTAAAGACCCATGCCCCTCAGTTTCTCAACATTTTAAGTACCTAAACTAGCACCACACTTGAATGACAAACCGGGTTCCAGATAGACAAGTCAGTGATCTCTCCCATCTCTGCCTCCCCGCAGCGCCGTGTCCACCTTCTGGATGGCCAATCCCAACAACAACCTCATAAACTGCGCGGCGGCAGGATCCGAGGTGAGCAGAAAGCGGGGGCTGGGGCCGGGGCTGGGAGACACTGAGGCTAACCTGGAAATGCGCGTGTTCCGGACCCACATCCAGACATCCACGCAGCCAGGCCGCGCTGCAGTGAACAGGAAGACAACAGGCTGGGAGGGAACTGGCTTTAATGACGGTTCTGTCACTGCGTAGTGCTGGCGGCCACAGCTAATGAGTGCTGAGCACTCAATGTACAATAATTCAGTATTAGAATGAAATTATTTCAGCTGGGTTTGGTACCTCGCACATCCGTGTGGTGAGCGGACGTAGTCTGATTCTTGCATCAACTCCATGGCATAGGTTCTATTATTATCCTCATCTGCTGGAGGAGGAAACTGAGGCAGGATGGCTCAGAGGTGGGGGCAGGACAGGAGCATCCTGTCTACACAGCCTGGCTCCCCCTCCCCGTGCTCTGGCCTCCCGTGGGACCCTAACTGGGCAGGTGCCGTCTCTGGTCTCAGCTTCCGCATCTGCGGAATGGAGGGGAAGACGGAGAACATTGTGGTCCTCCCGTCGTGCGCCGGGGAAGAGTTTAACCCCGCAGCGGCTGACACCAGCGGTCAGGGTCGCGCGTCTGATAGGGCAGGAGCCTATGCAGGGCTTTAGCTGTCAGGGGGCACCCCACAAATCACATTCATCTCAGACTTTTCACTGCTTCCCTCAAGAACGGGGCCACCTGGAGCTGTGTTTGGAGGTGGGTGGCGAGGCCCCTTTGGGTGACGGATACAGACCAGCCCTGCGCGGGATCGCGGGTGCCTGACCGGGAGCTCCCTGGGGCTGAGTCCCGTGGCCTCCCCTCGTGCTCCTCCGACAGGAAACCGGATTTTGGTTCATTTTCCACCACGTGCCGACGGGCCCTTCTGCGGGGATGTACTCTCCGGGCTACTCCGAGCACATCCCGCTGGGCAAGTTCCACAACAACCGAGCACATTCCAATTACCGGGTGAGTCTCCCTGCCGGGCTCTCGGTCCCCTTCCCAGGCCTGGGGTGGTGAGAGCCGGGACAGCCGTCCGGCCGCAGCCGGGAGCGACCGATTTCCTACCACGGGTCTTGAGGAAGACAGAGCAGCCGCCGAGGCCTCCCGGGCCACCGGCCGGTCTGCACAAGAACATCCGTGGTGGCTCCCACACGGGCGTCGGCTGGGCACCTGGCCGGAGACAGCAGCGAGAGCTGCCTTCACCCAGGCCGCGGGAGGAGCTGCTCTTGGTGGCCGAGCTGAGCGCTTGAATCCGATTTGCGGCTCGCTTGGTGGGGACGGGTGCAGTGTCCACCGTGAGAAGTGCGGCCCGACCCCAGAGCTGAAGGAAATCAGGGCGTGGCCCTGCAGGCGGGTGGAGGGGGCGCTGGCGGCCTCTCCCTGCTGCCTCTGTCTGGCTTCCTGGGAGACGGGAGACGGGCTGCTCCGCGGACGCAGAGCTCAGCAGGCCGAGGAGAAACAGATTCCTGATCGTCTTCGTTCACTCGTCGACGTTTCCCAGGCGCCTGCCAGGTGCCCAGTGCCGAGCTCAGTGCTGGGAAAATGGGGCGGGACCAAGATGACTGATCCCAAGCCTGTCAAGGACCCTCCTGCAAGGACAGCAGCCGGGACTGGAGATGGAGCTCGGAGTGAGGCTCAGGCCAGAGACGCTGCTCTGGGGGCCCAGGGGTCCGACCGTGTCGGGGCCATGTACAGACAGACGGACTCCCTAGTGCCGAGGCGGGTGGTCTGGCCCTGTTTCTAATGGTCCGGATGAGGAAACTGAGGCCCTACAGGGGAATGGCTACATCCTGGGTCCAAAAAAGATTGAGCAAAGCTCAACTGGGGAGAAGACCAGGAAGAAGAGAGCCGTCTGGGAACAGATCTGGGCTCACACAGGAGAGCGGTGGGGACAGGGCCAGGGGGGAGGAATGAGCAGAGAGGGGAGACCTGGGCAGTGTCCAGCCCCAGAAACTAGGAGAGAGGACAGTTTCGTGGGCTGTGGGCAGACGTGTGGAGGGCAGCAGTGTCATCGTGGCAGAGAAGGATCAGGACAGCGCCCCGATGGGCCGTTTCTGAGGCCAAAGGACCTCGGGGAGCTGTCTCCACGCGGAGGCGCAGAGGCCGCGTTGCCGCCGAGGGCGGGGACAGGGCGGAGCGTGTGTCGGCTCTGGCTGAGACCCCGCCTGCCCTCGAGAAGCCTTCCCAGGAGCGGGGGTGGGGGGGCACGCGGTGCCCGGAAGGCCCGGAGAGGCTGGGCAGGGACGGAATGCGAGGGAAGCTTCCACCACGGAGGGGGCAGGGCTCGGGACACAGGTGAGGGCCACGAGGAAGGCGGGGAGGGAAAGGAGAGAGAGGATACTGTGCTTGGCGGGTTGGGTTACCGAGCAGGGGAGGCCCCGTCCTTGGCGTCCATGCCCGAGATGAACCTTGACCCCCACGGCAGCGTGAGGGTCCTGCTCCAGCAGTCGTCACCTGGGGTGTCTTCTTCGGTCCCCACAGCTACCCTGTGAAATGGCTGCTGTTAGCCCATTTTGCAGATAACCCATCTGAGGCTAGAGAGGTGAAGGGACTTGCCCAAAGTCAAGTTCGTGAGAGCAGAGCCGGGAGTCTACCCGCCATCTGGCTCCAGGAGGGAAGGAGCTGCGCGGGGCCTCACCGGGCAGCGCCATTCAGCCGCCTCGACTCCCACGGCCCCGTCCCGGACAGAGTGGGCGCCTCGGAGCCCAGGGGGAAAGCCGGGCTCTCTCCTGGCGTCGGGCAGGCGCCGAGTAAGGCCACTGACCCCGCCCGTGGCAGAGATGGGGCCTGGTTTCAGCGTGGCTTGTCAATCATTGCAGAGAGACTCGGAGCCCCGGCTAATAGCTGCCTAGAGCGGTGTCCGCTCTGGTGTGGGCTGTGCCGTGTGCCCTTGAACAATGTCCTTCACCTCTCTGGACCTCAGTTTCCTCATCTGCACCTCAGAGAGGTCAAATATTCCCGATTCGGTCTGAGCAAGGCGGGATAAGGCAGGTTTCTCAGCTCCCTCATTGTAAACCCTCTGCCTTTGTTAATGCAGCCTGAGCGCAGAGCTGGTTCTCCCGGGCATTCAGGAGTGCGCGGGTGAGGCTGGGCACCAGACGACGCCTGTGGCCCACGTAGGAGCTAATGTGTCTCTGCTCGTCTCTCCCCCAGGCTGGCATGATCATAGACAACGGGGTCAAAACCACCGAGGCCTCTGCCAAGGACAAGCGGCCCTTCCTCTCTGTCATCTCTGCCAGGTACTCAGCTCTCGGGGGACACAGGCCACAGCGCCTCCTTTCTCCCTCCCACTGATTCATTCATTTACTCACCGAGTGTCCGTTGAGCGCTTTCTGTGTGCCGGGCCTCGAGCTGGGTGCTGGGGGTCCTGCGGTGAGAGTCTGGCTTGGGGTTCAGGCTCCAGTAGCCAGAGGGAGGCAGAAACCCTGGAGGAATTCTTTGCCGACATCCCTCAGCAAAGCCAGCGCCCGGCGAGTGGTCGGGGAGGGCGAGGGCCACGGCAGGACAGCTGGACCCGGATAAAAGGTAGAGAGAAGAGGAGAGAAACTTCACCGTCAATTTAGCAGGAAAGAACGTGCAGGTCGTGCTCACAAATACGTCTAGAGCTCACCCGGAGGCTGGGGCTGCTTTTCAAGGGGAACTGGCAAGACCAGGACCCTGTAGGGAGACCAGGGCCTGGGCTCCATCAGCCGTGGGTAACGCTGGTAGCGCGATGGTGTCCACGGAACCGCTCTGCTGGGCCTGACGTCGGTGAGCGTCCAGCTCCGCGCCCGCCCGACCAGGGCATGCCAAGAACAGGCACTGGCTCCAGGGCACGGCCAGGGACCCACCAGCCCCTCCGTCCGGGCGCTGCCTGCTGGTTTGGGACCAGCTGTCAGAACTTGCCTCTGTGCCTTCACCCCACTCCGGGGCAGGCTCTTCAGTGATGTGATGAGCGATACAAGTGACCTGTCTGTTGCCCACGGGGCCTGGCCCTGGAGGAAGCCTCCTTGCTTCTGAGATGAGCTCAGGAAGTCCCTCCCAGGGCCCGGGCGATGTCAATCAGTTTGTTCAGTCGGTGCCTTCTGGGCACCCACCAGGAGGAGACAGAGGCTCACAGAGCCCAGAAGGGAGTGAGCACAGCGAACGCCCCCACGCCCACCTGTGCCCTCCCGTGCCGCGCTGCAGGTACAGCCCCCACCAGGACGCCGACCCGCTGAAGCCCCGGGAGCCGGCCATCATCAGGCACTTCACCGCCTACAAGAACCAGGACCACGGCGCCTGGCTGCGCGGCGGGGATGTGTGGCTGGACAGCTGCCGGTGAGTGGGGGGTGGGTGGCCTCGGCACACGGGGACAGGACGCTGTCCCCACGCCCCGCAGAGAGGGGAGCAAGGCAGAGGAAGGAGACCTGCTGGTGTTTGGCCTTCTCGTCCCCCAGCCAGGCAGGGGTGCAGAATGGCAGCAGGCGGAGGCCACAAAAGAAAAAAATAATAAATCAGAAAACGAGGCCTAAAACGGCATGTTGGCTTCAGCCCACAATGCCAGGTGCTGCGGGTCATGATTTGCCTCCAAATAGTCGCTGGGCAGGGCTCTCTCAAGGTCACGCGGACTGCCAGCTAAGGGAGGGAAGAAAAAGGAAGCCAGAATATTCTAGGTGCCCACTGTGTGTCGATGCCTTGGTTGCATTTCTTTCTTTCCGTGTTTCTCGAAGGTAGGAATTATTATCTCCATCTTAGAGATGGGAACCGCGGTTCGGCTTAGTGAATTTCCCAGGTGAGAGTTTGAGCTGGGACTGGAAGCTCCGGTTCGCTGGACTCCAAGGCCCCAGTGGAAAAGGCAGGGACACTGAGTTCTGGTCTAAGGTCCCCGGTGGAGCCACCAGCTGGCCACCTTCTGGACAAAGGCCAGCAGGGACAGGTGGCTGAGCTGGAATTTGTTTTAAGCGAATAGTGTGAAATGTTCTCCTGTCTGCCTTTTGTATTAAAAATGGGGGGCCGGGCGCGGTGGCTCACGCCTGTAATCCTAGCTCTGTGGGAGGCTGAGGCGGGTGGATTGTTTGAGCTCAGGAGTTTGAAACCAGCCTAAGCAAGAGCGAGACCCCATCTCTATTAAAATTAGAAAAAAATTAATTGGACAACTAAAAATACACAGAAAAAATTAGCCGGGCATGGTGGCGCATGCCTGTAGTTCCAGCTACTTGGGAGGCTGAGGCAGGAGGATCGCTTGAGCCCAGGAGTCTGAGGTTGCTGTGAGCTAGGATGACGCCACGGCACTCTAGCCCGGGCAACACAGTGAGACTCTGTCTCAAAAAAAAAAAAAAAAAAAAATGGGGGATCAGAAATTCCATGCAGGAAATAAATTTACATGGAAATAAATGTACTTATTTCCTCCATTTTATTGTGACAAGTTAAAGGAGAAAGGGCAAAGGAGAGGTGAAAAGTGTATGAGGAGGGAACAGAGACCCGGTGTCCACAGAGGGAGAGGACAGCTGAGATCTGGGGGGACTGGCTCAGGGATGGGGCCAGACGCAGACGGGGATGCAGGGGGACCCTCAGTGGCAGAGGGGGACCTTCCCTTTGCCCAGGAAAAGGCAGTCACGCGTCTGGAGAACCGGGGCGGGAAGGAGAGAGCGATTCTGGATTTCGGAGGGGCAGGTAGGGACGAGGCTTGTCCTGGTTGGCTCTGGAGGAGAAGTCGCAGGCCCGGGGCGGAGGCCGCTGTGGGAGGGAAGAGATCCCACGACGGGAGACGCCATCGGTGGGATAAGCCACCAGGCTGCCTGTCTGGGGACGCTTGCGGGGACACGGTGCGGGGGGTGGCTGGAAGCTGTGGGTAGAAGCGAGGAGATGGTGTCAACGCTAAAATTCTCCGCACTGTTCTAAGTCCGGCGAGTTTCTTGGTTCTGGTTTGTTAAATGTTTTGGAGTTTAGGCCTCTACAGAGATAGGAAAGGCCAGATTTGGGGCAGCAAGAAAAATTGTGAAGACCCCCCCACCTGCCAATGGGGCATATCTTTTAATCTCTGCCAGACTCACCTAAGATCGCCCAGAACCCGGTGGCAGCAAGGCCGCGCCCTGCAAGTGGACGAGGGGGTGCAGGCAGGGCTGCCGGAAGACGGGGAGCCCTTCGAGTACTTCAGGCCTTCGCCGGGGGGCCGTTTCAGAACGGTCACTCCGGTAACCCGGACGCGGGCGGGCTGGGCGGGTGTCCTGGCGGCGGGAAAGCCAGCTCAGACCCCACTGCTGCGGCCCAGAGGAGGGAATTCCGGTCGTGGGGGCTCGGCTGAAACAGCCTTCGGAATGGGGGACAGGCGTGGACGGAGGATGATCGCACTGTCTCTGACGTGGTCGGTGGAGACGCTTGTGCGGCATGGAGTGGGAACGCCCCAGATTGTGGAAGGGCACATGGCAAAGTGACTGATCTCAGAGCCACCCGCGGATCGGTGGCGGGAGCCGCGAGTCCTGTGAGGTTCCCAGGGACATGGTGCAGGATGGGGGCCCACGGGCGGGGCGCTGGGTGACAGCAGCGACACGAAAGGCCACAAAGGGGGCCGGGAGACAAGAATCGGGAAGTTCTGGGGCAAAAGTGGAGAGCGTGACACCGTGCGTGAGGGCCCGGAACGGCTGATCCGAGCTGGACGGGCTTCGGAAAGGGAGAAGCGCGTGCCCTGAAAGGGAGCGGGTGGGGTGCAAACGAGGACGCTGGGACCTAGAGAGCTCGCTCGCGGGACACGGGGATCAGCCTGGCGCAGCTCACGGGAGGGGAACTCGGGCTCACCAGGCCCCTGAGCGGGGGCTTACGGGTGATGTGGCGCCTCGGAAGGTGCAGGAAGCAGAGAGGTGGGTGGGGAGGGGACCGTGGGGTGCGCAGGTGACAGCGGCCAGCCGAGGAGACCAGCTCTACCTGCCCCTGCGAGCAGGGAAATGAAGGCGGCCACCCTGTCTCGCCATAGCGTCTGCGGTGGCTCAGACTGCGCGATCCCCCGTCACTCACAGCCAGGCCCTCCCGGGAGCACTCCCACCCTGACCCTTAAAAAGGGCAGAGGCCAAAGGGAGCTGGCAAGATGGCCCCAGGGCCACTGCCAGTGACTCTTGCTGTCAGGGCCAGCATCTGCCTGACTCCCAGGAAACTGGGAAATTGGCTACTTGGGCCTCTTGCTGTGGCCGAAACGGTGGTGAGGATGGAAAAGGGAAGACGGAACCGCGTCCGCACACCCCACCCTCCCAGTGCTGGTCCTGAGAGCGGCAGGTGCTCCAGCTTCCCCGGCCCGGCCTCCCACCCAGCCCTGGACTCGCAGAGGGGGGTCTGGGGAGAGGCACATGGCGCAGTCTTCGAGCTGCTAATGCAAAGTGCCACCAAACGCTGAGAGCCATGGGGGTTGCCATGTTCTCTCTGGGGTCAGCGGTGCGTGGGAGGGGACCGAGAACATCCCCTCACTGTGCAGAACTGGGGAGTCACAGTCCCTTGGCAAAGCCTCTGCCTGTGCGAAGACCACTGTCCCCACGGCGTCCACAGCTCCGCGCCAGGGTGAGGAGGGGTCTTCCCCCCACGACCCCACTGGATGTGGAGGCAGGGCTCTTGCTGACTGTCTGCTCTCGTCCCCAGGTTTGCTGACAATGGCATCGGCCTGACCCTGGCCAGGTAAGAGCGACTGCTGTGCGTGGGCCCGGGTGGGAGCTCGTCTCTGGACATCTCACCTCAACCCTCGCCTCTCGGCAGTGGTGGAACCTTCCCGTACGACGACGGCTCCAAGCAGGAGATAAAGAACAGCTTGTTTGTTGGCGAGAGCGGCAACGTGGGGACGGAAATGATGGACAACAGGATCTGGGGCCCGGGCGGCCTGGACCACAGCGGAAGGACCCTCCCCATAGGCCAGTAGGTTTGCGGCCACAGCGGGCCCTTGTTCTGCGCGGCTTAACCCCAGTGGCAGTGAGGGAGGGGAAGAAGCTAGTGGGTGGCTCCTACCTGCCAACGACGAGTCACTCCGTCCCCTGCCAGCCAGGGCAGTGGCTGACGCCAGCTGAGGAGTGAGATCTGGAATGGGGGGAGACGTCCAAAAATGATGTTGCATGGAGCCCACGGGGTGGCATGGCTGTCACAATGCACAGTGTGGCCGTGGGCTACGTTAGCGGTCATCTAGTGTCCAGGGTCCGAGACGTTGACCCCACTCCCCCGGGGTGGCACAGTCTCAGGGGGTTCTATCCACCTCTGCAGTGGGAGGGAGCGTCAGGCGAAGCACACTCAGCAGAATAACCGAGGGACAAAACCCGAAGCCACGTCACATGCAGACTGTGACCTTCAACCGGGAGAGGGGGGTCACTGCTGGGGGGACAACATGGGGAAGTCGTCGCACACGCTCAGGGCTGCTGTGCGCAGGAGACGGGAGACTTGTTGCACGTGCGCGCTGCGGGGTAGGATTGGTTTAATGCAGGAGGGTCTTTCTAACAGTCAGATTCGCTCAACTACAGATGGGCAGGGCTGTCCCGGGAGTCGTGGGCCCTGCTGCTGGAGCAGTTCTAACACAGCCTGGATGACAACCGGGTGCTGGAGTGGGCAGAGGGTGACTCGGAGAGTCGGCGGACTAACGGGGCAAATGGGCTCAGTGGATGCCTCGGGTGTGAGCTCGAGCCGGAGCGAGGCCCTGAGCCCGCGAGCAGCACAGCGGTCCCTGTGCTCCGAGTGATAAGATCGGCCGTTCTTGCCCCCGAGCTGTCCTCTCTTCCTCTGGGAAAATATAATTCCCGCCACTAGAATCAGGACACAAAATACACGCACGCCTAAAACTCCGCCCCGAGTGGACGTGTGCTCCAAGGAGGTTTGCGAAGGCGGAGTCCCGGTCTCCGTTGGCATGAGCTGTTAGAAGCCCTTGCTTCTGTGTGACGTGGGTGACGGGGCAGTCCCTCTGTCCTTTGTGGGAGTGACTCTGGCTCTGCATATTCAGGGTTTCCTTATAGAGCGCCATAGCCTCCCCGGGCCAGAATGTTCTGACGGCTTCCAGAGGCGACCTTGTTTGTGGAAGCTCTGCCAGACCCAGGCAGGTCCCTCAAACTGCCTTCGCAGGCAGGAAGCTAGGGCTGCGCGGTCCCGACCGTTGGCGGCGCTGGCGCAGCGTCTGCAGGTGGAGGGAGCCTCGACTTAGCGCAGAGCTAGTAGGGACGGGCTTCCCTAGACGCCTTAAGTGGAAAAACACACGGGACCACCCCTGAGCGTCAGGTTTGCAGGCCACGACGCTAACCAGTTACAAATACAAAAACACGGAAACGCCAGGCGTCTTCGGAGTCCACTGAAGGTGTGTCGCCAAGACTGGTGTGACTAGCGGCTTCCTCGAGGACCCACGCTGGACCGGAGAGGAGGCCAGGGCGTGAGGTCGGGGACAGCTGGAGTGTGGCCTCCCCCCAAGGACAGATCCCTTCTCTGCTTTCTTTTTCCTCGTTCTGCCCTTTCTTCTTGTGTTTGCTGCGGAAGGGAACGGGCCTGACCCAGGGGTGGAGGCGCCAGTGTAAGCTCGGTGTCGGGCCCGGAGAACGAGCACGCCTGGATGTGGGGCCGGGCCCAGGAAGGGCCACCGGGAGGCACCGCCAGCCCCTCGGAGGCCCTGCCCTCCCGCGCCCTGCCCACCAGTCCCAGGCCAGGGGGGAAGCGTCCCTCAGCAGCCGACTCCCCACTGGGCCAAGGAATTTCCAACTCACCGGTTCTCGTCCAGTCTCTCCACCTTCATCTCCAGGCCCGCGGCCTCCTCCCACCCCCTTGCTCCTGCCCTCTGGGCGTCAGGGCCTTCCTGGGGTTCCCTGCCAGTCCCCGGCCTTGCTTTCCCGGTGGGGCCTGCCCTGTCTCCTGGGGATGCTACAGAAGTTGCGTTGCGATTACTTTGACCACATTTTCATCATCTTCGTTCTGTGTCCTGTTCCTCCTGCTCACCAAGCCCAGCACCCTGCCAGTCAGGGGCTCACTCACAGATGAGAAACCGTCCGGGTCTTCATCTGATTAAATTGCCATAGCAACTGAACTGGGGCGATGGTGACTAACAGCTCTATCTCCCAAGGGACATGATGTTGCCACTCCGCAGTAGGATTTACAGAATTTACCCAGTGACTCTTCATGTGATGGAAAAATTGGGGGAAATTTTGGAATAGAAGGCCATCCCCAAACGCCAAGCCAGCAGCTATTCATTCATTCATCCGTCTGTCCGTCCATCCGTGCAGTCATTCACCGACATTCACTGTGTCCATGCGTGCTTCCCCAGTGAATGAACTAATGAACCAACAATGACCCGGGTCGGGGGAGTTGCTCGAGGTGGGGATCAGGAACGGCTTTACCCAGGGAGTCTCTGATACCATCCACCTCAGAAGGGGCAAGCAGCATGGCTCAGACTGACATCCCACCTCCCTCATTCTGCAGGAATTTTCCGATCAGAGGAATTCAGTTCTACGATGGCCCGGTCAACATCCAGAACTGCACTTTCCGGAAGTTCGCTGCCCTGGAGGGCCGGCACACCAGCGCCCTGGCCTTCCGCCTCAACAACGCCTGGCAGAGCTGCCCCCACAACAACGTGACCGGCATTGCCTTCGAGGACGTCCCGGTGAGTGCGGCGCCAGGGCAGACTCCCAGCAAACCCAGACTCTGGGTGGTGATTCACTGACCCCGGGGGCCGGAGCTGGGGCTTTTGCCACCACCGCGGGGGCCGAGACGCCGCCTCCACGCGGGCTGGGCCCCGTCCCGGTCTGCACTGACTCCCAGCTGGAAAAGTACAAGTGCAGGTCGCCCCGCAGGTCAGGGCTGGGTACATGCCCGCTCCCCTCCCCTGCTCGAAGCCAGGTCTTAGCCTTGACATGCGGAGTCTCGTGACCGGGCCCCGGGGCTGGCACAAACAAACCCAGCAGTTTCCAAGGGAGGTCTTTGCCGAAGATGTCCTGTTCAATCTCTCCCCGAGAGTGGAACGTAAACACGGGCCTCCTCGTCGTGGGCAGAGCTGGCACGGGAGAAGCCCGGGGTGAGGGGACCGGGACACACCCGGCCTTTTCTCTGGGCTTCGGCTTCCCAGAGCAGCCCCCTCCTGGTTCCTGGCAGACTGCGGGAGAGACGCGAAACTTAAATTACTTAATTTCCTCACTCCGGCCGCGAGGGCCTGGAAGAGGTCGGTCACAGAAATCTCCAGGGCTCCGCCGCAGACTGACTTCCTGAAACACAGCACACGCCCTCACCCTGTCTAGCCCCCACGTGTGTGTGTGCGTGTGTGTGCCCGCACTTTCTCACGCACACGTGCACCGCCTCTCTCATGCACTCACACCCACACTCCTGAGCCCCCCGCCCGCGCCTGGGAAGCCCGCGTGTCCCCGCAGTGCCCTCTCCCGCGGCAGCCAGCCCCCGGGGGCAGAGGCCAGGGCTGTGCCAGCGCCGGGTCTGGGAGTCAGGCCTGGTGAACCTTTGCCCGCGGCGCGGCTGGTCCGCGAGGTCGGCGGTGAGTGCCCTCGCCGCGCCCAGAGCATCTTTGCTTTGGCTGGTGTGTGATGTCAGCGGAAATCGGAAACCTCGCCCCGGCCCGGTGACGCCGCAGTTTCCCTTCACCTCGGGCCCAGCCTGACTCTCCCGGGCTCTGTCTAGATTACTTCCAGAGTGTTCTTCGGAGAGCCCGGGCCCTGGTTCAACCAACTGGACATGGATGGGGATAAGACGTCCGTGTTCCACGACGTCGACGGCTCCGTGTCCGAGTACCCCGGCTCCTACCTCACCAAGGACGACAACTGGCTCGTCCGGCACCCGGACTGCATCGACGTCCCGGACTGGAGGGGCGCCATCTGCAGCGGGCGCTACGCACAGGTGGGGACCCTTTCTCGGGGCCGGTCACTCACTCGCTCACATAGCAAGCATTTATCGAGCACCTACTGTATGTTAGGGTCTGTGCCAGGCCAGAAAGAGATACACAGTTCTTCTTTCTTCTTCTTTCTTTATTTTTCTCCTTCATCCAACAGGACTTTTGAAAGTCAAAGTCAGAACTCTTGGAAAGCAGAAAGCTTAGGAAAGAAAGCCTCTGGGTCAAATGCTCGGATTCAAGGCGGGCTCCGGCAGTTGCTATGTGACACACTCGGAGCCTCAGTTTTCTCACCCGTAAAATGGGGATAATAGTTGAACCTTCTTAGAGACATTTAGGGTACAGCTTCAGGTAGTACCTGTAAAATCCTTCACCAGCCCTATCCAATAGAAATATAGCACAAGCCATGTATTCATCTTAAATCTTCTATTTTCCAGCAGAAAAATCTTAAATTTTTCTAGTGAAAAGAAACACTAGAAATTAATTTTATTAATATTTTATTTAACAAAGTATACTCAAAATACTATTATTTCACCATGTAACAATATAAAAATCATTAACAAAACATTTCACATTTTTTTCAGTTCTAAGTTTTCAAAATTCACTGTATATTTTATACTTAGCTCACTCACTTTTAAACAAAGTGAAATGTGGTCCTACCAAAGCAATAAAGTTGTGTTTAATGGAAAAAAATTATTTTTATTGATATATCATAGTTGTATATACTTTTGGGGCACGTGTGATATTTTGATGCATGTACACAACGTGTAATGATAAAATCAGGGTCACTGAGACAGGAAAAAATATTTTACACCGCTTTTGTTTTGAAATTTAAATTTAATGAGAATGAAATTTAAAATTCAGATCCCAAGCCGCACCGGCCACACGTGCAGTGCTCAGTGGCCGCCACACGGGGCGGTGCAGGTCTGGACGGCACCCGGCCTGGAGCAGAACTGGAAACATCGGCCGCTGGTATTCGGATGAGCGGCCGATGGATAAACGAGGGAGGGAGAGAGGCTCAGGCAAAGGAAGACTTGTGGGATCAGGAGGGCGGCACGGGGAGCTGGGTTGTCCCAGGTGGGGAAGGACGCAGGTGTGAATGGAGAAGTGGCTTCCCAGCTGTCCTGCAAGGCAGGCACTGTCGTCACCGCCGTGGACGCCGGGACTCGGGTTTCGGAGAAGGGCTAAGCGGTGGCTTTGGCGTGGAGGAGAGACGGCAGAGGGAGCTGGCGTCAGGCTGGGGAGCAAAGGCCACAGGGCCGCGGGTGCCGGAGGAGGGGCAGGAGCTGGCAGTCAGGAAGAAGGACTCTGGTCAGGGAGGATGGGGCAGGGGCGGAAGCCGAGGGCAGTTCTCTCTGCGGTAGGAGGTGAGGTCACGTGCGGAGAATGCGGGGAGTGGGCCCGAGGAGGTGGCCTGCAGGTGGGGATAAAGTCTCAGCTGTCACAGACAGTGGGGGTGTTGACAAGGGGCTCGTGGAGGGAGCG